TGCCTTTCTTTTTGGAGCTTGAATTGTCAACGGTTTGTTCTCCTTTGAACTCCTCATTGAGGGTGTCAAAATTAGATTTTGCACTAGCATGTGTTTTATCTGCTTCCGAAGCTTTTTTCACTTCTGTTTCCGGCTCTGGGTGTCTGTCACTATCTGGAGTTTTCTTCTGGTCGTCGTGCTTCAGTCTCTCATTTCCACTGGATCCAGATTTTGAACCTGCTTTAGCTGATGGTTTGCCGTCGCCTGAGCTACCTGTCGTTTTATGGATGACAAATCATGAACGTCCGCTCAAAATATCTTGTACTTTGTTTCTCAGTGTTGCCTTTTTGTCTAGACGTATGTTCTGTGTGAGGAAGATGGATGTGGAATTCGCATGCCTCTGTGGACTGAAGGTTCTACGCTTGCTGGAACCCTGTTTCTTCACCACTATCCTCTTTTTTGTGATCTTGCATTTTACTGGTAACCCCTTTCTTGCGACCTTCTCCAACTTTCGCACAGGCAGCTGATCGATGACCTCAAGAATGGCCTCAACACGAACCGGGTAAGGAAATCTCTCACTAACCCTCATGTTCTTCTTCAGAATCAGCATGGAGAAGGTATGGTCCTCCAGCTCAAGGTAATGGAGAAGTTTGCTTACCATTTCATGAGTCCATGGCCTCCACAGTGGCTTCTCCTTGCAAGGTTGTAAGTTGGATTTTGCCTTCTATCATGGCATTCTGAATAATAGTGACGATGAGCATGTCTCTCTCTGCCAAGCGACAGTTCAGTCCTTCAGACTCCTGGATCTGCTTCTCCATCATACGCAGATAGTTGTCACTGTGTGATGGTGCGGTGATCACCCACAGGCGGTGTTTCCCGGCAAAATCAGCCAAGAAGTCAGATTCTGATGGACTCTCGGGAGCCCCATCTGACCCAATGTCCTCCTTGGGAGTTGCAGGGCCACTTTGATTCTTCCCTTGGTGCTTTTTCTTGCCTCCTTTTGCTGAAAGCACCGGGCTGTCGATCAAGTGTGCCAACAGAAGCAGGAAGATCCACAGAATTTCTAAACTTCAAAGCAATGTTGAGCTGTGTGGCATGCAGAGCAGTTTCTTGCGCCTCATAACTTTGTGTCTGCATGGAGGAAGAGCTGTTGTAGGAGAAGAATGAAATTGTTAACGTTTGTATTGGGTGTGCCCTCACACTGCTCATGTCATGTGACATGTCTTCCAAATAGGGACATATGCAAATAAAGGCAGTTCCGGTTCATCAGAATACCGAGTAGTGAGCATGTTTTTCCCTCCGTATACATAAATATAATTTACCGGTTATTATACGCAAAATGGCTGTGCCAACAGGTTATGGGCCCAGGAGAGAAGCGGGTAACCGATGGAATAGACTATATTTCGACAGAGATGAAAAGAACTACGAACTTTGGGAAACAAAATTACTAGGCCACGGAAAGGACTGATGGTCGATACAGGTGCGCCATTGCATATCATTACGGATCTTGAAAAATTCAAACGGTTTGACAACGAATTCCAGCCAGAGAAACACTACATCGAAATGGCAGGATGGAACCCAACCCCTTCACAACTTCAGTGTGACTTTATCTTAGTTGTCAACATTTAATTTATTTTGGCTATTGCTTTAGTGGACAAATATTATTGCAGATTATATCTTGACAGTTTTAGTGTGTGTTCTGAAGGTCGATATTGCAGTTTGAATAAGAGTAACATACATTTTTACATTAATTCACAAAGGCAAACCAGTCTTTGTTGTTTCGGCTCACTCTCGATGCATCTGCAAAACAGACATCAAAACTATGATGATTAGGACCAGCACTCCAAAAATCTTACTGTATTTCTTGTTGTGAGGCTAACTTACATGCAAATCTAAATTTGTTTTTATATCAAACTAAATAAACATGTCAAGTAAACAAATCATTTTTTAGACGTGCTGTGACACTGTAAAATGTATTTCTTATTAATACACTGAAATTAGTAAGAAACACATTTGCTTAAAGAAATGCAAGTCCATCACCCATGATATTATCAGCTAGAAAGTGAAAGAAAGGTTGAAAGTGTAAAGCTTACATTTTTAGATAGAAACTGTAGATAGCAAAGTTATTAATGCTCAGGCTGACTGAAAAATAAGATATTATATGTGATCCAAACATAAAATAAAACATGTTAAACGTTGTCCCTTTAAAACAGCCCTTTTACATTAACATCTAAATGTACACTGAAACATATACAGTATAATACAAGAGAACTATAAATAAGGTGGAAAAGCTTTTAATTAATGCATTAATTTTAATTAATGCATTGGATTCTTATTTGTCATATTTACTGTATAGTGCAAAGCTTAAACTTTTTTTCCAGGTGTGAGAAGAATTGCAAAAAGTGGCCGTATCAATCTGGGTTGGAGTTAATAGTTTACAGTCATGGTACACAAACATTCCACAGATGGATTTAGTTGAACAGGAACATATGAGAGACAAAGGGGAAACTTGAAACAGCACCAGCCAGTGCTGATAGAACATATGGAAATGGTGTATTCAATGCAAACATTTATTTAATGATTTTTTTTAAAACTTACATGTACATTTTAAGATTGTTTAAATCACTGTTACTTGTTGAATTGTTTTAATTTATTATTACTGACCAAATGTTTATAATTTGTATTGCTCTGCTGTTAACTACCTTGAGTTCCACTAACTAACCAGTTAGACTGTACATTGTTCGAGAGGTTACTAAACCAAAAAATAATGTCAGGCTGAAAGTTCATCAGGTCAAAAATTGTGTGGTTTGGGGAATTTATATAGCTTGAATGTAGCCTGTAAACAGACTGGATGAAGAACTGTAATTGCGCAGTGCACACTGCAGCAGTAAATCAAGAACCTAATCATCTGGGTCTCCTTTCACAAAATTTGTCAGATTTTTTTTTTATATGTGAGGTGCTGAGTGTTTTAAGTATTGTCCTTGTCTACTACCTCCCTCTGCTGGACATGTGAATCTCTATGTCCAAAAAGTTGGCATTACATAAATCTATCAAAGATTTTGGTTAAATATTACTGCTTTCCAATTAACTTAACAAAAATAAACAAATAAAAACAAAATAAACAGAATATGTATTTATATAAAAAATATTTTTAATAAAGCACAACTGGGACTCTTGTTATCCCTCTCACTAATTAAAACTGTAATCATTTAATTGCTAAATAGTTCATCTTTTGCCCTTCCTCTCGATCTGTGCCAACTATTATTGAGATTTTGTCTCTCTGTCTTTTGACCAGGTTTTTGATTGAAGGAATTGTTTTAAGGTGAGCAGAACGCATTACATCAATGCATATACTATGCGTGATGGTTATTTATATGTTTTGAACATATGTTCAAGTTGATTATAAGTATATTTCTGTTTGTAAGAACATGTTGGTGCACATGAGAACAAGTTAAGAACTTGTTGGTAATTTACAGGTTGTGAACTTGCAGGCAATGTTCTATTTGACAGTGCTTAATGGATATGAGTCTTATAATATTTGATAAACGCTTTTATAAAGAGTTTTTCTAAGAGGAATGTATTGAAGTGCTTGTTTAAATATGTTTGAAATGTTTTAATGTTGTTTAACAATTTTATATTCACCATACTGTAATAAAACAGTTAAATGAACACATACACTCTAAAAAATGCTGGGTTAAATACAACCCAGTGCTGGGTAAAATAGGGTCAAACCCAGCAACTGGGCTGTTTTGACCCAGCGGTTGGGTTAAATGTTTAACCCAACCTTCTGGGTAGTAACCCAACCGCTGGGTAAAAACAACCCAATATGTAACCCAACATTTTTTAGAGTGTAGTATTGTAATTAATTCCATGTTAACAAACTATGCACTTCAATGGTTCTTTGTGTGATTTCTTAATAAAAGTATCTAAATTGTTTATATACTTTTTTATATTGAAAAAATTGCTCCGTAACATACCAACTGATTTTAAAGGTCAAGACAACTTTTTTAGTTTGTTATTGGTTGCTAATAAAAAAGCAATAACAAAGAAATGGCTGGATGAGAATCCACCAACAAAAGAAGAGTGGCTAGAGATTGTAAAGGATATGGAGAAAATGACCTTTTCTCTAAGACTAAGTATAGATAGGGGAAGTTGTGGCCTAATGGTTAGAGAGTCGGACTCGTAACCCAAAGGTTGTGGGTTTGAGTCTCATACTGGCAGGGATTGTGGGTGGGGGGAGTGAATGTACAGCGCTCTCTTCCACCTTCAATACCACGACTGAGGTCCCCTTGAGCAAGGCACCGAGCCCCCAAATAAATGGCTGCCCACTGGTGTGTGTGTGTGTGTGTGTGTGTGTGTGCAGAGCACTAATTCCTAGTATGGGTAACCATACTTGGCCACACATCATTTCACTACATTTTATAAGAATTGGTCGAATTGGCTAATACACAGGAAGTAACCCCTATCATGAAAATAACTGTATAAGAAGGATGTTAGAACTGTATGTGATGCCTCTGGTGACTCTAATCAGTTCTTTGTTATTTATTTATTTATTGTATTCAGAGTTATGTTAAAAGAAATTTTAAAAAAGTTTAAAAATACCACTTGCTGCAGTAATTACTACAATAAAACTGGTTACCAGGGTTGTAAATGAATGAATGAAACACGTTTGAATGAAATAACATTTTAATTTATTATGATTTACAGTGCAAACAATAACTGGGTAACCATGGTAGATTGGTGGTACAACTTTACAACTGCCATTACAAAAAAGTTGAATCCCAGTTTTGAATCTCCCAAAAAGCAAAAGCAACACAATTTGACATCACATCGACAAACTTTCTGTTTGTCTTTTAATTAAATGTTGTTTTGGAAATATTTTTTGTTATCCCTAAACTGGGCCTAGTTATGTTATTCAAAAGAGAAACGAATGTCAGTTAAATCTCGTTAACAAACGCCCACAGCACATGACTGATTTACATGCGTTGATTGACGGCCGAAGGAAACCACAGAAGCGGCGCAGATAGAGGTGAGCGCGAGCGCGAGCGCTTCCGGGTGGCTGGCGGCTGTAAGCTGGGTGTCTCCGCATTCAGAGGTCGCTCGTTGATTCTCTGTCTCGGCTCGGTGAGAATTTCAATTCCTCGTTATCGATCTCCGCCACCTTATCATTTGATCGCAGGAAATGCATTAGGGCATGCATTGCTTTGATCTCTAAATGCAAACAAAGACAGCCTGCAGTAGTTGTTTGTGCTTAGCTAACAAGCTAGTGTAGTACGAAAAGGATTGAAGGGGAAATGAGCGCTTGTGCCCGCCTTCTGTCGGCTCACCGACCCTGAAGCCGCAATGCTCCTCCGAAAATATGCCATGCATTTGATGTAGCAATAACAGATTTGAATGAATAGGACTGGCGTTCTTGAGCTGCATTATATGAATGTAAATATGCTAAAGCGTTTATAAATATATGCGGGAATTCTGCGTGACTTATGCCATTGAGCTGTTTGAATGAATGACTTTTGCATTGCCCAATAACAAAGTCTTGGCACAAGGGCGAGCATCGTTATTTTTGATCCTGATCCCTCCTCATCGCATATGTTGAATAATGGGATTTTCTAAACCTTGTAGTTTATAGATTAAAGTTAATGTAAGTTACGTTGCCCCACATCTGACTCGTGTCACTTCTCTGGTGCTAGAATTAGATTCTAGTTGGCACCATAACCCAATAGTCTGTCTGCACACGTTTAATTAAATCGGTGATTTGATTGTTGCCCACGCCCTCATACATGCATAACCACTGCAGTGCTTTCATGTGTGGGATGCATCTCTAAAAAAAGGGGAAATTATACAGGTGTCTACTGGTGTATAAGTGGAAACTGAGTCTTACTGGCACATTCCATGAATGCACAAGACTTTGGGTGCCCCTTTTGCACATTTTGTTGTGAGACCTGCTAGATATGTTCGAATAAGTATTTGGCTAACATAAAATGTAGCAGCTCATTTTCAATGCTTCATGTTTGTATCACCACTTAAAATTGTGAGACTTCCTACCTGAGAGGTCTTGACCACATAAGTATTTAAAAATAAAAATCACGTCATATGGCAGTGTCATTATGATGTTTAGAAACTTTTAATAGAATAATGTTATTCAAAATGATAAAAAAAAACATGATTCTTTAAAATTAATTTAAATTGGTCAAAAGCTGCAAAACAATATTTGTTCTCACACTAGCAATAGTTTGTACCCTAAAAAGAATATTTTGATCTGAGATATTTGTTTTTAGAAGTTTCCTTAATGAGTCTTTTCATGTATTTAGTCTTTTCTGGAGAAGACTCTTGCAGACAGTGTTTATGGTGTTGTAGTCAATAAAGTACCTAAGTGGCCTCCTGTCTGTAAGCTGCTACTGTATGACCTGCACCGGCCCACTCAGAAGAAACCCTTATCACCTTCATATGCGATAGTCCTTACCTAAACAAATACACTTCTACACATTTCTGTGTTTGCCTTAGTGTGACCTTGACTGTTTCACCCTGTGGATTAATTGATCTGCGTCGTGTCGCTACAAATAGTCTTGTAAAAAGCCATTAAGTTCTTTAGAAACTGTAGATATAATTGAGAACAATAAAGAATAATTCAGAAAAGCTATAGAAACAAAATATACTTTTTTCTTTTTTTTTCTTTCTTGAAATGCTATTAAAAATGCTAGTTTGAGACCAATTGTTGTTTGGTAGTTTTTTTTTGTGTGTGTAATAAAATTACAAAATCTGAATAAAATTGTTAATTTTGAATAATTGTTTTATAATTAAAATCTTCTAAATTTCACATGTTATATGTTAAAGTTTTTAAATTTTTCCATTTTTTTCCAATTCACCAAGGCTTAACAAACAATTCTTCTTATTATCAATGTTGGATCATAATATGCTGCTTGATATTTAAATTTTTTTTGTAGAAACTGTGACACATTTTACTTTACGATCCTTTTTGCTACATTGAATGTATCTTTAAGTATTAATTTCTTTAAAAATCTGTATTGATATTTACTCTGAAGATGTGAGGACTTAGTGACTTAACGCCCAGTTAACAGTCACCCACTTGTGTGAACTCAACTGTGAGCATATGTGTGTCACCTTGGAGGTGGGTAAACAACTGCGCTGCAGTGACTGGGGTAGAGTGGAGCATTATGGGATAGGTCAGCCGGCTCACTTTTTTTTTTTTTTTCCCCTCTCTCTATCTCCCTCACATGTAGGAGGAGGGTCGTTCCGACTGCACAGCTCCTCCTTGTGTCTCAGATGGCGAGTCTTCTGCGTGTGGTAGCCACCAGCTGTTCCAGCCCCCTGTTCTCCGGACTGGCCTGTGCTAAGAGTGTCCGGACGGTGAAGACACCATGCGTGCGGTTCTTTAGGACCCATCAAGCCCTCTCTCGCCTCGCAAGTCCAGGTAACGTGCTGGAATACTGAGTTGTTATAGAATGCATTTAGTTTCAGATATTCGGTTTTAAATCATGTTTGATATGTCCCCCCCCCCCCCCCCCCCCCCCCTCAGTATATATTGAAAGACCTTGAGTATGGTTCGCTTATGCTTATGCATAAACACAAGTTGTTTTACCTCAGCAGATTTAGTTTTAAAGTATGACAAACATTCTCAAACTTCTTTCTACTCTTCTCCTAATATTTCTGTAGCAGTCCATGTGCAGTGACTCTCAAGGTCAGTGTGTCCCTCCCCTGCTTGTTCTGTCACTATTACCTGAATTGAAGGTCTCGGGAAATGAATGAGTGTACTGTAAGTGACCTGTGTAGCGTACTGGCTGCTTGGGTACAGCGTTTGTTGGAGACCTGCCATTAATTGCAGATGTTTTTTTGAGAGGGGGAGGAATGGTAATGGTAGAGGCAGGTTATTTCTGGCACCGTGTCAGCTGAGGAACCAGGACTGTGGCACAGCTCGTGTGGGAGAATGCCTGCTGGGAAAAGAAACACATGTCTGTGGTGACTGCCAGCATTCAGTTTGGTTATAAGGGGTTTGTGGGCCTCAGATATTCGCTTTGTTTCCATTTACATCTGGAAGAACAAAAAAAGCAATTAAATCTACTTAGTAATTATTTTAGTTTCATTTATGTGTTTATTTATTGGCACAGTATCATTCAAAAGTTTATGGTCGGTATGATATTTTAAAAATTCTTTTGAAAGAAGTCTCTTATGTTCACCGAGGCTACATTTGATCAAAAATACAGTAAACGCAGTAATATTGTGAAAAATAATTACAATGTAAAATAACGGTTTTCTATTTTATTATTTTTTTTAAAATGTAATTTATTCCAGCGATGGCAAAGCTGAATTTTCAGCAGCCATTGCTCCAGTCTTCAGTGTCACATGACCCTTCAGAAATCATTCTAATACGTTACAAAAGATTTCTAAACGTCATTACTGTCAGTTTTGATCAGTTTAATGTCTCCTGAATAAAAGTATCTATATATGTTTTTCATTTAAGTAAAATCTTACTGAGCCCAGACTTTTGAACAGTAGTGTGTATTTTAAGTTCTTTATGAAGTATGTGTAATTATTATAAAGCTGGTCAGATTTGACACTGGCATGCTCGTGTCATAAAATAGTCACATGTTTTCACCAACAACAAAAAAGTTCATTGCCCTTGCATATGCCAGAAAGCAAAACTGATTTAAGTTGTCCTGTTAAGTTTTTAATCAAATAGTTTTAATTACTCAATGCAAAACTTGAACTTGGTGGCATAAAGTGGCCTTAAACATATTTGAACACTTGTGCTACCATAAATTTAATTGCATTTGATGCAAAATATCAAAGTAATGCAGGTTTCCAAGAGAGCAAAAGAAAATCATCAACTTAATGCCATTTTTGTAACAGTAAATGCCACTGGTCTGTATTGGTTCGATATCTAATGCAATGATATTCATTTATTTTTCAGCCACATTTGCATATGGCTGAAGTGTCCAAATACTTTGAGTTGCCTTTGCTCTCAGTGGCCCAGTTTAACAGCCTCCAGGTCCAGTCTATGATTCACGTGAGCTTGTGTTGTTGTTATATATAAATCAGGCCTGTGGTGGAATTTTCCACAAGCGACCTCCTGCTACCAATAGCAGAACTTGACTTGGATGACTTCTTGATGCATATTCAGCCTGTCTAAACCACATGTTGTTTGCACATCTTTTACAGACCAAAGCACACAAAATGAAGCTGTGCATAAAAATTCAACTTGATTTACTTTATTATTACACATCCTAAAACACAGCCGTGCTCTGATTTACAGCTTGAATTCTCAGTTATATTTTTGAAATTATGACTGCAGAATTGGAGCTGTTCCAATGCTACAAAGACTTGCTTTACTAAAACCACAAGTCTTACAGAGACTTCATGGATCTACAGTCGATTACAAAGGTCTCAAAGATTTTACACATTTTTTTTAACCACCCATTGATCTTTTATGAGCTGCTTCACCAGTTGTTAGTCTGACTCATCGTTATTGTACTGCTTTTCTCTTTGACCTATCCTTGAGTTCAGAATGGAGAATCTGCACAGTTAGAAATGGTCTAAAGCAATATTGGCCATGAGAGCAGCCTGATATCAGCTTTTCACACTTCAATTTGTTTCTGTGGTACTAGGTTCTCTAAACAGAAAATTTGTCTGAGGATTGAGTCAAATTTCATGTTGCTGAATAAAAAGGTGAACATTTTAAAGATATAAAGAATCACAATATGAGTTGTTGCTAGTGTTGTAATTTTAAAATCAAAATTTTTTCAGACATTTAAATATTAGTAATTTAGTACTATTTTTTTTGTAATTATTAAATAATTTGTAATTATTTTGTAGCATATAAAATTACAATTTAATAATGAAAAATAATCTAAAGTGTTCTTACATAACACAATTATAATATAATGTAAAGATTTTTACTATACAACAGAAAATAAAATATTTTTTCTTTTGTTTAAAAAAAATAAGCTATAATAATTATATAGTATATAATGTGTGAAATTGAATGTGTAAAAATACTTTAATACTTTATTTTAAAACAACATGTAAAAAATAGAGTAAAATACTTTAGATTTAAAACTACTAAAATCTAATGATTGTATGATAATTGTTAGAATTAAATATAACATTTAATTATATCCATATAAATAAAATAGTATTTATTTATAATTATTTTATATTATAATTAAAATAAAATGTGAATATTTATGCTTATTAATTGTTTCTAACAATTTAATTACTAAGCTAATTTGCCTTAAACATGAACTCCGAAACCTGCATTTCTCATAGTACCTCGAGAAAACTATTCGTTATCATTCCCATTAATCTCACTGGCATTTGCTCTGCTGGTGCAGGAGCCACCTTTTGAACCTTTTGCATTTGACACACTTAGGCCCAATCCCAATTCTATTTTATACCCCTTCCCCTACCTCTTCCCCTTGTCCCTTGAAACTGTCAAGGGGGTAGGGGTGAAAATATTCCCCTAAGAATTGAGACACCACTACTATACGTCACACATCATCATACGTTGTCTAGCTCCTACAGTACACACACCTATACTGGTGTGCCGGTATGCATTAGAGCCTTTAATTACCGTTCTATATTAATGCGCTGCTTACTATCAGTATTTTGCTCAGTTGCTCAGTATTTAGTAGAAGCACCCTTTTGATCTAATACAGCCATGAGTCTTTTTGGGAAAGATGCAACAAGTTTTTCACACCTGGATTTGGGGATCCTCTGCCATTCCTCCTTGCAGATCCTCTCCAGTTCTGTCAGGTTGGATGGTAAACGTTGGTGGACAGCCATTTTTAGGTCTCTCCAGAGATGCTCAATTGGGTTTAAGTCGGGGCTCTGGCTGGGCCATTCAAGAACAGTCACAGAGTTGTTGTGAAGCCACTCCTTCGTTATTTTAGCTGTGTGCTTAGGGTCATTGTCTTGTTGGAAGGTAAACCTTCAGCCCAGTCTGAGGTCCTGAGTACTCTGGAGAAGGTTTTCGTCCAGGATATCCCTGTACTTGGCCACATTCATCTTTCCCTCGATTGCAACCAGTCGTCCTGTCCCTGCAGCTGAAAACACCCCCACAGCATGATGCTGCCACCACCATGCTTCACTGTTGGGACTGTATTGGACAGGTGATGAGCAGTGCCTGGTTTACCCCACACATACCGCTTCGAATTAAGGCCAAAAAGTTCGACTGGTGGAGGGCTGCAGTGATGGTTGACTTTCTACAACTTTCTCCCATCTCCCGACTGCATCTCTGGAGCTCAGCCACAGTGATCTTTGGGTTCTTCTTTACCTCTCTCACCAAGGCTCTTCTCCCCCGATAGCTCATGTTGTGGCACTATCGTGCAGTCTGTAATGATATGATGTTAGCAAACTTTAGCGATTTTTTTGCAAACATTTCCGTAATGTAACATGACCGTAAATATGAACTCACGATTGAATGTAACATAAAACAAATGATTACTTTTCGTTAAAATATTTATTAATGGCAATAATGCTTACATTTATGTGTCTCTTTGTTTGCTCGGGCAGCCATGTTGCCGCTGTAGCCGGTTTACGCTGAGATAATTCATACCCCTTCGTTTGAAGTGTGGTCCCGAAAAATCTTCGCTTGAAGGACTATCCTACCCCCTACCCCTCCAACCAAAAGAGAATCAAGACACCCCTACCCCTTCACGTGAATGCACAAAACGAAGGGGTAGGGGAAAGGGGAAGGGCTAAGGAGTAGAATTGGGATTGGGCCTTAATAATAAGCTCCTCTTCAGGCTCTGTTTGATTCTGGGATTCCCTGTTTTTTTTTGCAGGCATTCCATACAAACAGCTAACTGTCGGCATTCCCAAGGAAATCTTTCAGAATGAGCGTCGCGTGGCCATCTCTCCAGCTGGAGTGGAAGCTCTCATCAAGCAGGGCTTTAATGTGGTGGTGGAGTCTGGTGCTGGAGAATCTGCCAAGTTCTCCGATGACATGTATACAAAGGCAGGAGCCACCATCAGGGACGTCAAAGATGTCTTTGCATCTGATGTTCTGCTTAAGGTACTGTTAGATTCATTCATTTTACCTTCACTTAGCTGAGTCTTCATCAGCTCTCATTCTCTCCGGCTGTTTGCTACAGGTGCGTGCCCCCATCTTGAACTCCGCTCTGGGAGTTCATGAGGCCGACCTCATGAGTGAAGGAGCCACCCTCGTCAGTTTCATCTATCCTGCTCAGAACCCTGAGCTGATGGACCAGTTGTCCCAACGCAAAGCCACCGTCCTGGCCATGGACCAGGTGCCCCGTGTTACTATTGCTCAGGGTTATGACGCCCTCAGCTCCATGGCCAACATTGCTGGGTAAGTCCATCTAAAGCAAAAAAAATAAATGCATAAGGCTAGCCAACCTATTTTTTTAAATGATGCAAAGCATTTTGTATCAATGTATGAATGTTTTTATAATTCAGTAATTGACAGTTTTTGTTTAATGATTTTTTAAAATATATTGTTATATAATGACAATAATACTTATATTAACAATAGTACTTATTATAATTTTTTTAAGTCAATACACTACAGGCAAAACCATTGTTTTTGCACTGGTCAGTTTAGAGATTTTTGGGCAGTGTTGATTCCATAACATGCCTTCTTTCAGACTAGTGGAAATAAAACACTCAAAATAAACATTTAAGTGTTTATTTCATTACACTTATCTATTTACATATGTGACCCTAGACCACAAAACCAGTCATAAGGGTAAATTTTTTCGAAATTGAGATTTATACATAATCTGCACGCTGAATAAATATGCTTTCCATTGATGTATGCTTTGTTAGGATAGGACAATATTTGGCCGAGATACAACTATTTGAAAATCTGGAATCTGAGGGTGCAAAAAAAATTTAATATTGAGAAAATCGCCTTTAAAGCTGTCCAAATAAAGTTCTTGGCAATGCATATTACTAATCAAAAATTACGTTTTAATATATTTACAGTAGGAAATGTACAAAATATCTTCATGGAACATGATCTTTACTTAATATCCTAATGATTTTTGGCATAAAAGAAAAATCAATAATTTTGACCCATACAATGTATTTTTGGCTTTTGCTACAAATATACCCAGCGACTTAAGACTGGTTTTGTGGTCCAGGGTCACACATGTAGATTTCAATTACAATGCATTGCTTTAAAGGCAGTTTTTTACTTTACTTAAGAAAAAGATCCAAAATCCGAATCCCCGCTGTAAACCTTTAGCTCTAATATGTTATATGAATATGAATTTTAAGATTTCTGTTCTGGAAATGTGTGCAAAGTGCAAGCTAGTGCATTTAAAAAAAATTAATTAGTTCCTCATTTGCATATTTAAATGTGTCAGAACTTGGAATACAAAATTAAATGTTCTATAATTAATTGAAAAAGTATAGTGATGTATATTAGTTTTTAAAAAATTACCCTATTCACCTGTGGTGTCTTGCCTAAATGTATTTGGTTTTTATTTTTTTTAGTGGGAGATACTAGACAAATAGACTTCACAGGCCAATCTTCTGTGACCCGTTAACCGAAATCTTGAATTAGTGTCGTCAAATGTGATATTTGTGGCCAGCGTAAAGTGTCTTAATTCCTGCCTCATCAGCAGCTGTGACTGATGTGCGTCTGTTTTTCTTGGCAGCTATAAAGCCGTGGTCCTGGCAGCCAACAACTTTGGCCGCTTCTTTACTGGTCAGATCACAGCCGCAGGGAAGGTCCCTCCTGCTAAGGTAGAGTTGGCTTAACCGCACGCACACGTCCTGAGTGGTTTTTATTTTTATTTGAGTGGAGTTTGCTTGTTTCATTGCCATACACTTCTCACATTAGGTCTTGGATGAAGATATTAGCACTGTTCATACTTTCCCAAGTTCGATTTTTCTGTTTATTTCAGAGTTTGAATTCTAAAAAGGCTCTTCATATTGGCAGGTGTTGATCATTGGAGGTGGAGTGGCTGGGTTGGCCGCTGCTGGCTCTGCACGTGCTATGGGTGCCATTGTCAGGGGATTTGACACCAGGTAAAAAGTCATATAGCTTATAGTTACTCAAGCTAGTTTTATTTTTTTATTTTTAGGAAATTAATACTTTTATTCAGAAAGGATGCATTAAATTGAAATGAACAGTGACAGTAAAGACTGTTTTGAACTTTATTTATCAAAAAATCCTAAAACAATGTATCATGGTATCCATAAAAATATTAAGCATCACAAATGTTTTCAACATTATTGATAATAAGAAATGTTTCTTGAGCACCAGATCAGCATTTTAGAATGATTACTGAAAGATCATGTGACACTGAAGACTAATGTTTTGAGTAATGGCTGCTGAAAATTCAGCTGTGCCATCACAGGAATAACTTAACATATTTTAAAATGTTAAAATAGGAAAGTTGTTTTAAGTTGTAATAATAGTTCACAATGTCAGCGTAATTTTAAGTACATGCAAAAATGTAAAAAAAAAAAAACTTTTGACCCTAAACTTTTTGTAGTGCATATATGTAGGTGATGTTATAATCACACACACATATATTATGTAAACAAACTTTTATTTTGGATGCGATTAATAGGTTTGACAGCTCTTTTATATATATATATATGTCAGTGCTGCTTGAAAGTCTGTGAACCCTTTAGAATTTTCTATATTTCTGCATAAATATATCCCAAAAGAAAATCAGATTTTCAAGCAAGTCCTGAAAGTAGACAGAGAACCCAATCAAATTAATGAGATGAAAATATATACTTTGCATAATTTTTCTCAATAAATAAATGACGGTGTTAAATATTTGTGAGTGGCAAAAGTATGTGAGGTGACCCCCTTTTGTAGCAATAACTGCCACTAAATGTTTCTTGTAACTGCATATGCTGAAATGCAGTGTATTTCTTTCTCCAAACATAACGCTCCTCATTTAAACCATAAAGTTCTATTTTGGTCTCATCCAACCATTAAACCTTTCTCTAATAGTCCTCTGGCTTATCCACATGATCTTTAGCAAACTGCAAATGGGCAGCAATGTTCTTTTTGGAGAGCAGTGGCTTTCTTCTTGCAACTCGGCCATGCACAGCATGGTTGTTCAGTGTTCTCCTGATGGTGGACTCATGAACATTAGCCAATGTGAGAAAGGCCCTTAGTTGCTTAGAAGTTACCCTTGGTTCCTTTGCAGCCTCGCAGACTATTACATGTCTTGCTTTTGAAGTGATCTTTGTTGGTCGACCACTCCTGGTGAGGGTAACAGTGGTCTTGAATTTCCTCCATTTGTACACAATCTGTCTGACTGTGGATCTGTGAAGTCCAAACCCTTTAGAGATGGTTTTGTAAACTTTTCCAGCCTGATGAGCAACAACAACTCTTTTTCTGAGGTCCTCAGATATCTCCTTTGTTCGTGCCATGATTCACTTCCACAAACATAATCAGACTCTGATAGATCCCTGTTCTTTAAATAAAACAGGACAGGCACTGACACCTGATAATCATTCCATTGATTAAAAACACCTGAACAGATGGACTCTCTTTTCCTTCAAATTAACTGCTAATCCTAGAGATTCACATACTTTTGCTGCTCACAGACATATAATATTAGATCATTTTCCTGAATAAATAAATGACAAAGTATATATTTTCATCTCATTTGTTTGATTGGATTCTCTTTGTCAACTTTCAGGACTCGTGTGAAAGTCCAATGATCTTTTGGGTTATATTTATGCAGAAATATAGAAAATTCTAAAGGGTTCACAAACTTTTAAGCAGCACTGTGTGTGTGTGTGTGTGTGTGTGTGTGTGTGTGTGTGTGTATATATTTTAATGTCATATCAAGTTTCCATTTTCTTTCCTTTTCTGAACCTTCTGTAGGTCCAATTAACATGAAATGTGGCATGTATCATCAAACTCGAGGACACAAGACAGTCTGATTACAGATGTTATTAATCAGTTTGTGGTGCTGGTCCAATGATTTATATTTATGCAGAAATATAGAAAATTCTAAAGGGTTCACAAACTTTTAAGCAGCACTGTGTGTGTGTGTGTGTGTGTGTGTGTGTGTGTGTGTGTGTATATATTTTAATGTCATATCAAGTTTCCATTTTCTTTCCTTTTCTGAACCTTCTGTAGGTCCAATTAACATGAAATGTGGCATGTATCATCAAACTCGAGGACACAAGACAGTCTGATTACAGATGTTATTAATCAGTTTGTGGTGCTGGGGGGTGCTATAACTTATCCTCAGAACCATGTTGCTTTGTGTTCATAGTTTGCCACCACAACAACTTTATCACAATTGGCAAATGTGAATTATAACATTTGCTCCTTTTTTCCAGTCTTTGGCCCTGATGATTCTCACTTGCAACTAAGCTTTCTGTGTACCCCCTCCCCTTTTTTAAATCTGACAGATGTTCTGTTATTTCCAATTTTTGTCAGTATTTATACATTTGAGTTTTGAGTCACCGTTCTGCTTTAGTTTAGACTTATGTTGTTTGTTTTATCTGAAAGTCTTTTTTTTCACTTTTCCAAAAACAAGAACATAAAAACGGGTTGTGCAAGAAAACAGTGACGTCATTGCTAATCCTGCCAAAATGGTTTGAAATGTACGGATTTTAAAAAGCTCCATTTTACTATGATTTAATGACATTGATCTTACAGCATGAGCCAAGTTTGGTGTATTTAGTTAGAATCAACATACTTTCTGTGCTTTGGATCATAAAACTTGAAACTATCTGCTTGCGTGATTCCATCAGCGTCAGTTCCAGCAAGCTTCCTCTCGGTGGCAGTGTTGCATTAGTCATGGAGTCTTGTCCTCTTCTTCCAGAGTGGCTGCACTGGAGCAGTTCAAGTCCCTGGGTGCCGAGCCCCTGGAGGTGGATATGAAGGAGTCAGGAGAAGGCCAGGGCGGTTACGCTAAGGAGATGTCCAAAGAGTTTATCGAGGCAGAGATGAAGCTGTTTGCCAAGCAGTGTTTGGATGTTGACATCATTATCACTACTGCGCTTATTCCCGGTACGCACACCTGCAGCCTTCACTCCCTTTCCATCTTTTTACCATCACATGCCCTCTTAGGCATGTACTCTTGCAGATAAGTGATGTGGTGTTTGCACATGCTCTTATTTTTCCATCACTTGACTTTTAAAGGAAGAGTTCTGCCAGAAATGTAGATTTTTCTCTTTATTTACTCATTACTTAATTTTTTTTCTTGTGAAATACACAAAATAATCTTTTTCTTAGGCTGTCAAGTTCCGAGGGCCCAAAAAGCAGCATACAATAGTTGATATGTCTCTATAGTTATATTCCAAGCCTTGTGAAGATGTGTGAAAACTTTTATAAAATCCTTCACCTTTGCTGTTGCTCTCCAATAAAATATGATGTCTTGGCATTTGTTATTGATGTCCAACCTGCATCATAGACGCTACATTTGGTTTGAAGGGTAAATAACTGCTGGCAATATAGGATTTTAATAAAGGTTGTCTGTTTATTTATTTTTTAAATCGGTGTAACAATACTGGAGAAAACCGAGAAAAGGGCTGTGGTGAAAAAAAGGTAGGTTCGATCAGACTATCCTTGAGCGAGGATACAAAAATGTGCAAGTATGATCTGTAGTTTTCACAAAAGTCCTGAAGCTGTTGAAAAACACTTGCTGACAAATTATGATTCTTAAGTTCCTTTTGTTGCGTTTCATGGAAAAATAATGGCATTTTGGTTTATGTACAATGACTTGATGGTGAGTAAATGTCAATTTCAAGTTTTGGTATTCACTATTCTTATAACTGTGATCCTGGTTTATCTTAAGATCCTTATGTTAATACTTGTATGACTATCGTTGGCATTTTAAAAGAGAAAATGTTTACCCGCCATAACTAATTATGTACAGCATAATTACCAATTTAACAGCTCTGTGGCTGCAGATGTGCTTCATGTTTATTCGAAGCATGTTTTGTCTTAATCTCCATGACTGAGAGCTAATAAAAATCAGGTGTCTATAACCGAGAATGTTTATGAAGTTTCCTGAGTGCTATAAGAGTTGCTTTGGGTCGCTCTTGCTTTAGATTGGCAGAGAGTTTGTGTTGCTTGTTCAATACCGCTGGCATTTGAAGTCAGTTCCTGTGACTTTTGCATGCTTGTGCACACTCCTGGTGTCACTCCAATGTTATCATTGGATGTTCCATCCCTGAAGCCATGTAGCCACCAGTTGGACTTTTAGTACTTAGAAACTACATACCTGGCAGTATTTAGCATGCTCAGATTGGTAAAATGCATGCGATCTGTTCCACTTTTATCGGAATACCATTTTCTTTTAAAACCAACAAGCCGCAAAGCAGCTTATCAGTATATTAGGTTGCACGCATAAAAGGCACATCAGAGGAGTCTTATTAAATGCATATCAGTCATGGTTTTGGTTTACCAGTCTCACTGTGCTGAAATTATTATGCAGGTCGGAAGGCCCCTGTGCTGATTACTAAGGAAATGGTGGAGACCATGAAAGATGGTTCAGTGGTGGTAGACCTGGCTGCAGAAGCTGGGGGCAACATCGAGACCACGGTTCCTGGAGAACTCTCCGTTCACAAAGTGAGTACACTGCAACAGAACAACAACTTGGGGGTCTTACATGAGCTTCATGTGTTTTTTCAGGAACGTTAATGGGTTAGTAATGTAGTTTAATTCAGAATGAATGCATTAAATTAATCAAGTGACATGAAGTTCAAATTTGAAAGAATCTGAATGTTGATCATTTCTAAAAAAGTCTATTTCAAATAAATGCTGTTCTTTTAAACATTCTCATTTACTCTACATTTATGCATTTGGCAGACTTTTTATGTCCAAAGCATTTAAAGTATACGTACATCAGTTCATGCATTCCCTAGGAATCGATACCATGATCTTGGCGTTGTTAGAGCCATGTTTTACTGTTTGAGCTACAGGAATGGAAGCTTTCTATTCATCAAAGAATTCTGGAAAAAAATGCATCACGGTTACTTCAAAATTATTAAGCAGCACAACTCTTTTCAACATTGATAATAATAAGAAAAGTTCCTTGAGTAGCAATTCAGCATATTAGAGTGATTACTGAAGGATGATGTGACACTGAAGACTGGAGTAATGATGCTAAAAATTTAGCTTTCTTAAGATATATTACAATAGAAAACTCTTATTGTAATAATATTTTTACAATTACTGTTTTATTGTGTTTATTAATGCAGTATATAGTATAAATAAATAAATGCAGCCTTGGTGAACATAAGTACGGTGCCCGTAAGGTGACATGTTCGGTTCACTTAGTTTTGTCGTGGCCACAACATCATAACTCGTGTGAACGTGATATGTCGTGTCGTATTGATCCTTATGTCGTGGCCTCGAGATGCTATGTTGAGGGAACGACATCCATTTCTCATGGCCACGACTTCTTATGTTGAGGGAACGACATATTTTTCTCGTGGCCACGAGTTTAATGCATAAACAGACCTGCGTGACCAAAGCAACCCGGGATTATCAAAAATAGATAAAACATTTTTATTAACATTAAACATTTAATTTAATATTTGTATATTTATATTATTGTTATTATTACATTAACTTATTAGGGCTATATTATTATATTTATTGTTATATATGCTTATTTCCCCTTTCAATTTGTGTATCGCTTTAACTAGTTAATGTTTTGTGTAATTATGCTAGCATTTGCTAGTCTACCATATATTTTGTAAATAAACGCCTGACAATTATGCCAATAAAGTTTTGACTTTGATTGTATTTATGGCCATGTGTGGTGGTAAATGAGCATGTTGTGTTTTCATTTACAAATGCAACTACGTGCAAGATTAATTCCTCAACGAAACACTATAGTAGCCTATTTATAATTATGGTCTTTTAGCCGAAATAAAATGAAATATATGTTAAATTTAAACTGCATTCCAGCAAAAATTCCAGTCAGCATAATCAAAGCTTTATTGGCATGTCGAGCATTTACAGTAGGCTATTATTTAAAAAAGTGTTCCGAACATTAAGTAAAGAGATCGAAATTAAGGGAAAAAATTAATATAAACGAATATAAAAATATAACAAATAATAATAGGCTAATAATAATAATAATATACAAATATTATGGGGACAAGACAATCAGTTAATTGACTTACAAGACTGTAGGATGGATAAAAATGTTTTCTTGTAGGCCTATTTTATATTGTGCATTTTATGTAACATTTATTCATAATAAACTTCAATTGAATGCGGTAACCAAGGCCTATGGCTAATATAATAATTTAATAATGTAATAATTTCTATAATAATATAATTTTCTTAATTCAAAATAAAATATTAATGAATCCGTCTCTGATAATCCGGTGTTGCTATTGTCACGCAGGTTTGTTTACGTATTAAACTCGTGGCCACGAGAAATGGATGTCGTTTCCTCAACATAGCATCTCGAGGCCACGACATAAGGATGTCGTTACCTCGACAAAATGATCTCGTGGCCACGACATATTATCACGTTCCCACGAGTTAATATGACGTTCCCTCAAATTAATATCTCGTGGCCACAACATATTATCACGTTCCCACGAGTTAATATGACGTTCCCTCAAATTAATATCTCGTGGCCACGACATATTATCACGTTCCCACGAGTTAATATGACGTTCCCTCAAATTAATATCTCGTGGCCACAACATATTATCACGTTCCCACGAGTTATGTTGTGGCCACGACAAAACTAAGTGAACTGAACATGTCCCCTTACGGGCACCGTACATAAGAGACTCCTTTAAAAAATATATATATATCGTACCACCTGGAATCTTTTTAATACTGGTGTATACTAGGGGTTGGAAATATGGCAAAAATATAATATCACAATTTTTTTGTTGTTGAAATATCACGATTTTATAAATTTTTTGTCATGTTGTTTATACTATTTTGTCTGAGCATTAGAGCCAAACTAATTTCCCTATTATAAAGACAAAGCCTTTCAAGGTATAACAAAATCTAAAAAAAGAATGGCCAAAAATTTAGGCCAAAGTGGGCGAAGATAAAAATCTTAAAATAAGAACAAATATACACATTACAAATACACATAATATACAAATAAAACCAAACAGTGTTTTATTTTCAGGTATGATAGGTGTATTTAGCTGGAGCATTCAAGAAATTGAATGAACAAATAAAAAAATAAAACACTATATAGATTGATTCCTCTTAAAGCAACTGTATTAAAGTTTTTCAGTCAAGAGTATTGATTTGATTTTTCTCTTTGTTTTCTGGTTTTATTAACATTAAAGGAATAGTTCACCCAAAAATAAAAAATCTCTCATCTGTCTGTCAGTTCTGTCATAGTGTTTTATTTTTATACCATCATTTACTCACTCAAAAGTTGTTTTAAACCTGAATGAGTTTCTTTCTTCTGCTGAACATAAATGTTATTTTGAAGAACGTGGAAAAACCAAACAGTTGCTGGTCCACAGCGACTTACATAGTATTTTTTACTACTATTAAATTCAATGTGGACCAGCAACTGTTTGGTTTACCCATATTCTTCAAAATATCTTCTTTTGTGTTCAGCACAAGAAAGAAATTAATACAGGTTTGGGACAGCATGTGAGTGAGTAAATAATGACAGAAATTAAATTTTAGGATGAACTATCCCTTTAATGACAGTCGGCAGCATGTTTAGTATGGTCCCTTTAAGCATCTAATATACAGGCACACATCCGGTTTCTCTCAACTGTTTACTTTCATTTTAGACATAACCAACTGAGCCTAAATGTAAACCTTGTGTGTTTTGACAGTATTAGCGCAAATTATAACTTGGTTCAGAAATCAGGCACTGTTTGACAGGCTTTTTATGCGCTCAGAAAAAGCGCACATCAGAACAGCACGTGAATGAAACATTTAACTGGCAAGGTTTTAAAGCAAATATGCAAATAATGTACTTTTGTGACTGCACATAAGTGCAGTGTCCTGTGAGTGTAACTCTACCGCTAATACTGAATGTATGTCGCGTTGTACAGTATATTGCGCCAGAACTGTAGCTGATAGACTGTGCACCAGATAGTCATGCAGTGTGAAAACAACGGCGATCCGACGAGTTTGAAAATCATGCAGTGTGAACTCGGCATAAGTGTATACTTCTTATTTCATTAAATGTATTTCTGTACTTTCCTATAGGGTGTGATCCACGTCGGCTATTCTGATCTTCCCAGTCGCCTCCCGACTCAGGCCAGCACATTATACTCTAACAACATCATCAAACTCATCCGAGCCATCAGCCCGGACAAGGACGTTTTTCACTTTGACGTCAAAAGCGAGTTTGATTATGGCACAATGGACCATGTCATCCGCGGTTCAATCGTTATGCAGGTAAACCTTTTTTTAATAATATACATTGTTTTCTTTCTTTTTTTTAGCTACAGGAGGACATATAAACACTCTTAATTTTGTTACATGTTATAGGCCACATCCTAAATCAGTAACCTTTCTTTCAATTATATACGAAATTTGACACTCAGTTATCTAGCAAAATCATGTTTTTCAGTTGAAATTGCATCTGTGGGAGCCACAGCTGTCCCAGGGCAACATCTCACTTTGACATTTGACATTTACTGATATAAGGAAAAATTGTGTGAATGTTGTGTGAATAACACATGAATAATAATAATTATTATTATTATTAGCAACCTTTTTTTTTTTTATTGAATTGAGCAAATTTAATCCATTTTGTTATACCGAAATACTGGTGAAATAAGCATCAAAATTGTTTCTGCACTTGTCGTGCGTGCGTTCTCCATGGATAAACTAAAGTTGAACAAATACATAAATGTGGCCGGCATAAGATGATGTTTAATCCAGTCTGGCTGTTGACCTAAAATGGACTGAGCTAAAGGATGTGAGCAGTGTGAAATTTATGACCCAATATCTCTCTGGCGCTCATTTAGCTTTCAAGGAGTTGAGTTGTGGTGTTATTTGAATTCTGGCTGTCACTCTCTCTGTCTGTCTGCAGGATGGAAAAGTGCTTTTCCCTGCACCACAGCCTAACAGCGTTCCAGTGGCGGCACCTCCAAAACAAAAGACAGTCCAGGAGCTGGCGAAGGAAAAGGCAGCTTCCATCTCACCCTTCAGAGCCACTCTCAACACGGCTGGGATGTACACCGGAGGTAAATCACAGTCCGGCTGCCCTTCCTGCCTTCCTCTTCCCACCGGATCTCTCCGGGCCCCTCCTGGGGTTAATATGAAAGCGGTTCCCTGTGTGTTTTAAGAGGAAGAGACCGCTGTATTGGTGGTCTCTGATACTGAACTATGTTAATAAGGTTTTCGAGTAAGTTTAAAACGGCCCCTTTTATTGCCTTTGAGATTATTCAGATTTTTCTTCCTTTTATCCACTTAACAGTCTGCATTGCTCAGAAATCCCCAAAATAGCAGCTCCCCTGTTTGGCCGCTTTGTCCCAAGATGTGATTAGACTCCAAAGCCCCGCTAAACTAAATGGCACACAAATGAATTCTATTGGTTGCAGACGGCTGAGGACCACTTGTGTGAGGAGAGGCAACTTTGGCTTCACATCAAAGCGCTCACTTCCTCACTCAGACAAGCCGCAAATACAACTTGCACGTAAATAAACACCGGCTGATAAACAAACATGCAAATGAGATTTTCCTGCCCTTTCATGGTTTTCCTGTATCTGTATGAGCTTAGGTACAGGGAATCCTGACTTGCTCGGAAGGCCAAAATCGCTGCCTTTTTAAAAATCACGATTGGTCACCTATTTGAGGAGCAAGCTGTTTTATTTTCCACATCACTTTGGCCCGTTCTGGCATCTGAATGCCAGGAACCTGGGATGGTTGTGTTGCTCCTTCCCTGCTGCTGTGTAGAGGTTTTCTTACCCACATGGCCAATGCCTGGTCTGTGAGTTGGCAATACCAAATTGGCAATACCTATTATTAATACCACTGGAAATAATAATAATAATTTTGTTCATTTATTTATGTATATCACACACGCCAGTAGATTGAATTAATATTATCATCATCAGCATCATCATTTTATATAAATATAGAATATATAAATATAATATTGAAAAAATATAATAAATATATAATTATTAATTTGTATTTATTTATTTATAACTATGAATATAACTATAATATCAGTATTTGTTGTTGTTGTTAATTTTTTATTAATAAATAAATAAACTATGAAATCTTATATATTTTCCAAAAAGTAGTTATGGGAAGTTTTTTCCAGCTTAATACACTTATTTTTAACTTTAACGTTTTAAAATTGAATGAAGCAGACAGCAAATGTACCCTATATTAGAGTTGAGGTGGCAAGTATACATGACCCACAGCAGTGTTGATGTTTTGAGAGGATTATGGGATGTATAAACTGGACACCTTGCCCCTGGCACTTGGCTGATTTGTCTGAGCAGTCAGAATGACCTCAACTGAAAAACAAACCTATAATGTTTGACATCTTGTTATTTCTACTCAGGTCTGGCTTCAGCCATCGGTCTTGGGATATGTGCTCCCAATGCTGCTTTCCCTCAGATGGTTACAACCTTTGGCCTGGCGGGAATCGTGGGATACCACACCGTATGGGGCGTCACTCCTGCTCTTCACTCCCCGCTTATGTCTGTCACAAATGCCATTTCTGGTAAGTTAGTAAATCAAGTGCACAACCAAAGGGAATGTATTTGCTATTATATAATTTGTTTAGTAATTGCTAACCTGAATGGCTTTTTCTTTATCATATGTATGCAGATTTACTGAGAAACTGTTGATGGAGGTGGAGAAACTATTGACATTTTCTGATAATAAATTTTGAAATGTCACAGGATCTCAGTTTATCTCAAGCACAGGTCATCGATGCGCTTTTTCTTAATCTGAGTTTGCCCTTTAGCTACGGAGGGCTCTCACCTGTGTGCGAATTATCCATTTGCTTTAATGGGCAAAAAATGTCACCTAATTTTTTTTTCCCCTCCCACCCTCGAGTTAGCGTCTGCGATGGGCCGACGTAGCCCACCCGTTAATTGGCGAATTCAGCTCTTCATTAGTCTAGACTTAAGGGCCCAGGGTTCAGCACTGTTCAGAAGGCCACGCCATCATCAGCCAGGCAGATCAAGGATGCTTCTGTGCTTCGTTAAGCTTTTATTCAATTCTCCCAGCAGGCTGAGAAACCAGGAAAGGTTTCATTGTTTTTAACACCACCAAATCCTTGGTGGTCTGCATTAAAGAGTCCTTTATGTCAAGAGAGCTATAAATTTCACATCAAGAGTGCGTGGAATCAACTGAAGCAATTAGTTTCCCTCGACCTACTGCACACTTCCTGTGAATTACTTTATTAGTCTTGTAGAGACAGTCTCTTGCTTTTCTTTGTCATATTTGCGTACGAGGTGTTACATATTTGACACTTATTGAACTTTCACAGGCCTGGAAATGTAAGCGAGTTGGAATTCGCTTATTTCGGTGCCAAAAGTAATGAAGCTCTCAAAAAAGTGACCGAAACGTTAAGCCACTAATGTGGAATTTCTCATTCTCGTTGAAAGTGTGGGAGAACTTTTCCAGAAGCATAAAGTTACTCCTGGTGGAGTAGAGTTCCTCTCTTGCTCTTTAATCTACCTGAAACTGGTGAATCAGAATGACTCCACATCGCTTGATATGAACGTTTGGACATCACCCGATCCAAGGAATCTTTTCTGATGAACTTAAGCTATTAGATATTGGTTTTGGGTCCATTTTGGCGACGTGTTGGTGACCTAATGGATGTGTCATTGCTTAAAACAGCCGTGCTTTCCAAACACCATCGCATTATTCTTCATGATCACAGAAAGTCAGAAATATTATCCAGCCATTATAACAACAGCAGTCCATTTGTGGATTTTGAGCAGACTCCAGCATCTTTCATATTCATCCAAGGGTTTTATTTTACAGATATCCAGGCCTTTGCATGTCTGGGTGCGTGTGTGGCGGTTCGTGCCTGTGTAGGTTTACAAATAGTCTGTTGCGTTTCCTGCAGCGTTGTGGTAGCGTGCTCTTGGCCTGCAAGCTGGTCTGTGATCAATTGTTACTTCAGAATTACAAAGTGAGAGGAAATGCTTACCAACAGTTACACACTTCATTGACTTAAGATACCGCTAACTATCAGGGCCACCACAGGTTTGGTCAGTTGTCGATGCATTTGAAGCATTTGAAAACGAAGCATTTGAAAACGATTAAAGAGGTGATGGTTATCAGATTTCCCTTGGGGATGCCAGTGTTGTCCTCGTTAATTCCCTATCAAAATGAGTTACAAGTGACTTGTTTTGAGCACTGAGAGTGCTGTACCAGTGTCAAGCATATTACGTAAGACTTCTAGTGAAATTATGCTTTATTAGAGGGTGAAACTGACTGGAAGAGGTGTCATAAGCCTTGTTTTTCTGATTTGAAATAGTCACAGTTTCGAAGCAAATCTGGAAACTAATGCAAATTCCATCTGGTGAATTGTCAGAAATATTTATCCATATATGCTTTATTAGTCAGCATGGATGGAATAATTACATCTGGCTCAAAATTTTTCTCCATAGCTATTCCACTATAGCGCCGTATTCTGATGAAATGCTAATTTTTGCTGTCAATGTCACTAATATTTGTGTAGTAAATGTAGTATCTAGTAGGGCTGCACGATAAATCGAAATAAAATCGAGATCGCGATTCCACAGAAGCTGCGATTGTCATGTGTATCTTTCAGTGAAGCACGGTTCTGTGATCAGCAGTAAATCTCCATCCAAAGGCCAGAGGGCACTCTCGTGCTGAAACTCCAAGTACGCCTTGCAGAAGAAACCCAGAAAATGCCTATCGCTGCAGATAAATAAACAGAAGATTCAACTGCTTTCATTGATTCAACGTGACTAATAAACACACGACTACGGCAATATACGGTTTATCGGAGTTCTTCTTATTATAATTTTCATTAAAATGAAGTATATTTATGCCTTTATCACTGCTTAAATACTATGAAATATGTTGCGTGCCTTATTCTGTGTAAGAAGCCACATCATCTCACAGAAGGATTTATTTCAAACACTCGACTGACGTTATGAAGTGAGTTTGGAGTAAAAATGTTATTAAATGTGGTATATTCACATGCTTTCAGATGGAGCAGCATTTACTTCTCAGAGCCGTAGTTCACTGAGAAGCTATGCAAACAGCTGTCATAATCGCAAACGATTTCTTCGATTTCAGAATCTTTTATTTTTTTTGCGAAACTTGTCAGTGAACTATGGCTCTGTGTAGTAAATGCTGCTCCATCTGAAAGCACCTGATGATGATTTACTGATGATTACAGAACCGGCTTTACTAACAAAATGCACATGACAATCGCATTCGATTAATCGTGCAGCCCTAGTATCTACTATATAAAGTGTAGTAGCTATTGTCAGCACCGGTATTTTTTATTTTATTTAATAAGTTGAAAGATGAATATAAAAAAATCATTTCTTTTAAACAACATTTTTGAAAATCCCTTTCTTCCTTCCTAATTTGTGGAGTATTCTGATAAAATGTGATATATTTTTTTCAATCAACATTTGTATTTTAAAATGAATTAAGATTATTTTAATTATTTTGATTAGATTAAAATTCATTTATTCTTTCAACCATTTAAAATTAGTGATGTGTTCTCATGCAATGCCAATTTTTGCAGTCAATATATGTTGCTAATCTTTTATTATAGTGTAGTAGCTGTTATCAGCACCCAATATTTTTTTTTAAATAAATAATTTTATAAAATTTATTTTGAGACAATTATTTAAAAAAATTAAAATTACTATTTGAATGTTTTATATATTCATTTTAAATTGGGATTCTTTTAGTATTTCAAAAAATACATTATTTAAAATGTAAGTTTTTATTTTTTATTATTAAAATATTATAATTTATTACAATTTAAATATATTTTATTTTTTGTTTGTTTGCGGATATATCACGGATGCCATGTGTTTTCAGGTTTGACTGCTGTTGGTGGCCTCTCCCTCATGGGTGGTGGATTTCTCCCTAGCAGCACAGCCGAGACCCTGGCCGTCCTGGCTGCTTTCATCTCCTCTGTCAACATCGCTGGTGAGTGCACTGAACACACGATCCTGTACCTGCCAACAGCGAAAGGCAAGATAAAACATTACTAAAATGTATGTCGGAGGCTGAAAGCTGAGTAAGATTACAAATGCGAGCAGGTGAGGGCTCTGTACTCTGTTTGCTCGCTGCCCTCTGGCTGCCCTGCATCTTGTGTTCGTGAGAAGAGCGCCGTATTCCGTTCCTTCCAGGTGGAATAGTTTAGTCCGTCAAACCTCACACCTGAAACAGGAAATGTCAGCACGGCAGTTTTGCTTCAAAGGGCCTCGTCATGTCATAAATCAGTCTCTGATCAAAACAACCAATAGGGCCATTAAGGAGGAAAAGGGAAAAAAATGGCTTGAAGCAGGCAGTTGGCCAAAATGCCAGCCTGAATCCAATGACCCCTTCATTTTGCGTCTTGGTACGGTTGGCCAAGACACCAGTCCAGGTCAGAGGGTGAGTTAGTGATTTAATGGCATGCTACTAGGCTTTTACAGACATTTTTCATCATGCTACAATAACAGCTTTTTGATATGTGTTCCAGCGCACATAAAGTGTCTGAATTTATATATTTATCTTCTCAGAAGGCAGGTGTTTAATTTCAGTTGAAAGATGTTTTTTTTTTTCCCATTCCTCATACACGGTGTTTCGTCCCACAGTCCCATTACCCATAAACCTTAGAGTTAGAAATATGGACATTCTGGTCGCTTTTTCCTATCCTCTTTTCGACCAATTTTATTGTTACAAGTGCATACAGGGGAAAAATAACAATTGCCCTTTCCAATTTAATTTCAATAAAAGACAAGGAATTTATGGTGAACCTGCTCCATTAATGACAGGAATGGAAACATATTTTATTCTTTGGCCCGGCTGTTATGTCTGGATATCCTTCACATTTAATTGTGGGAAAACGGAACGTTCTTTCTAATGCTGTATACATTGTGTTCACCTGTCTGAGTGCATTTACTTCTGAGTTTAAATATTTCACCGGGATCCTCAGAGGAACGGGTCACTAAGGTTTGAGTGAAACTGGATACCCGTCTGAGTTTCGAATAAAAAGCTTTGGTTTGGTAATCGTCCTAGTAAGTTGCTTAGCTAGGACGGCGTAAGCCAGGAAAATGAGTGTAAATGCAATCACATGGCAGTTTAAAAATACTTCGCTAATGAGCAGCAGATGAGTGACTCCCGTCATTCTTCATGTCATCCTTCTGCAACTCAATTAGGATGTTTTACACATTTAAAGTACTTGATGTTTAAAAAAAGTTATATATATAAATTTTATATAATGTTAATAACTTGTGTACTGTGTTAATACTGTGTTCTGTTTGTTTGATTTTGTTTGATCAGGTGGTTTCTTGGTTACTCAGAAGATGTTGGACATGTTCAAGCGGCCCACTGATCCTCCAGAGTACAACTACTTGTATCTTCTTCCTGTTGGTTTGTTTGTTGGAGGTTATGGGGTGGCTCTTCAAAGTGGCTACAACATTGAACAGGTAAAGCTGCATTACTTAATTGCAAGTCTTCTGCACTTTTTGTACTGTGGACCTGAATTTTGCCTCAAATCATGCAGCTTGTTGAGTTACTTTGGTTCATTCATTCGTTTATTTATTTATATAGCACCTTACAGGCTACACAGTAGCTCCAAAGTGCTGTACATTTGCTGTACAACATCCATATACTAATGTACTAAAATGCCAGAGAGTACAAATATGATTTTAAACTTAAAAACATTAAGAGTTACGGAAGATCTAACATTCAATGGCAGATTATTCCACAGTCTTAGGCCAGCCAGCGATAGAGAAAGCACGATCACCCTTCAATTTGAGACGTGCTCTGTGAATTGTTAAAAGAAACTTGTTTGATGATCTTAGTATTATGCCAGAACTAAGCTCAGCTAAGTTCGAACTTACACTTCGCAATATAGCAGACGATAACAGACAAAAAAAGTTGCATATAGTTACAGTGAAGACAGTGTTAAAACTATTACAAATAATGTTTGTTAATTGAAATAAAGCTGAAATTAAAAACAATAAATATAAGATGTAAAAACTCTTTATATTTTATCTTTTTAAACTTTTTTTTATTTCAGTTAGTTGCCAAGGCAACGTTTTAAATTTTTTGTTTTACGTTGAAGTACTAAAACTACTAAAATAAAACTGAAATAAAAAAAATTTATGCTAAATAGAACTATTAATAATAATAATAATAATAATAATGACAGAAGCTCCTAACAAATGAACACAAACTAAAATTAAAATTAAAACTGAAAATATATCTTGTATTATATAATGTAACAGTGTATATAAATAAAACTAAACTAACACTGGTTGAAGGAGGGATGTAATCTAGTGACCAGAATATCAAAGATGCATAGCAACATGATAAATTCAACTCAGAGCACCATAGTAACGTCCTGGCCATGGTGAACTGTAGTTGTGCAAAAGAGAAATGGATTCTGGAAGATTTATTACTCACTTCCTGTAAACCTTCCTTTTGTGTGCAGATGATGTACTTGGGCTCTGGCTTGTGCTGCGTGGGGGCTCTGGGGGGTCTGTCCACCCAGTCCACAGCCCGTCTCGGTAACGTCCTGGGCATGATCGGAGTGGCCGGTGGCATTGTCGCAACTTTCGGAGCACTAAAACCTTCCCCTGAGCTCATGGCACAGATGAGTGCAGCCATGGCGGTGGGTGGCACTGCTGGTGAGTACATGTTTGTGCTTCTGTCTGCGTGCATTTCTTCTTTAGTCAGTGGCCTTTGAACCTCCAAGTGTGTGAATGTAAATGGCAAATGGCTTTGTGATTTCCCCGCAAAGCCGGGTAATGGTCATCAGGTCGTGTGAGTCACACAGCACGGTATCACGCTTTGTAGCCAGTCATGTCTAATCTGAATTGCTAATTATTCCTGGAAACCTGCTGGAACGTAGTTTAAACCGTCCCGACCAGCCCCAGCTCAAACCAGAAGTCTGCTTGATTCCAGATGCTTCCACCCTGAGGTCTCAGCCCGCCCCAAACATGCCCCCTACACACTTTTTTCCCCAACCTGCACTCCAGATTCACATCAACACACACACCGCTTCATCGGATGTGACCCGTTTACCAGCAGGCCTGAGTTCCCCTTTCTTGTTTACAGGTTTGACCATTGCCAAGAAGATCCAGATCTCGGACCTGCCGCAGCTTGTCGCCGCTTTCCACAGTCTGGTGGGTTTGGCGGCCGTGCTCACCTGCGTGGCAGAGTACATGGTGGAGTATCCCCACTTTGCAACCGACCCTGCGGCCAACCTCACCAAGATCGTGGCCTACCTGGGGACCTACATCGGTGGAGTCACCTTCAGCGGATCTCTGGTGGCTTATGGCAAACTTCAAGGTCCTGCTTGTTTGGTTATATAATAACAATTAAAGGGATAGTTAACTCGAAAGTGATAATTCTGTCATAATTCAGTCACCTTCTTGTTACAAACCTGTATGACTTTTTTACTGTGTAATACATAAGAAGATATTTTGAAGAACAGCTTATGTTCGTAAAATGAATGTCAGGGAGTCCAAAACAAACTGTCGTTTTGTCCATACAATGAAAGTCGATGTGGCCCAGAGACATTTACTGCGAACTGAACTGCTCCGAGATACTAAAACACAGGATCATGAGCTGATCACATATAAAAGAGCACAGTGCCACACTTCACTCTGAAATACGCAATGCATATATTAAAATAAATTCAATGAGAGGCTTTTTGATTTGAAATTTGCACTAGGGATATTGTGGTTCAGTTTTATTTCTATTAATTGTGCAGCCCTAGAAATTAGAAATCCCAATGTTGTGGGTCCAGGTCCTCCTTGTCTGGTGCAGCTTTGTTTGTTAACTCACCGGCCCACCGGTGCCACACATGCCTCATGTTTAAAGCTTGGCCAGGCGGAACCTCTCAGAATTTGGCACTAATTAGTCCCTCCACCCCCCAGTCATTTTCCACTTGTCCCTCAAAGCTGCAACGCATTATCTTCAGGAGCTTTCCCATTCCTCAACCACTACAACCGCTCTGAAGCCTGCAGGCCTTCGCTGATAAAACAGATTAAAAGTCTCATTTTTATTCTTGTGAGTTTTTCTTTCAGCCTAAATGTGGGGCCGGTGTAGAATACTGTACATAATCACCCAATCCAGCTGTATTGCTAACTTATTACGCAGCTGATGCTAAAGAGTAATTGATTCAGCTCCTACTGAATTTTTCCTGTGCACACATACTTGTCTTGGGCTGATGATATGTCTCGTACATATTCTAATAGTTTACAGAGCGCTAGCAGCTGCTTAAAGAGCACTTTAACAACATGACATGCATTTGTGTACTTTTGTTTAAAGCACGACTCAAACAAGCTTCTCGTTTCCAAGAAGTTCTCAACCTAATTTTATTTCACTCATCGTGTTCCCAAACAGCACATGTTGTCCGGTGTATGTGCTAACTCACTTTTTGTGTTGCTCTTCTCACTTGACTTTCTCCTCTTGCAGGTCTCCTGAACTCAGCTCCCCTTATGCTTCCTGGTCGTCATGCGCTGAACGCCACCCTCATGGCAGCCAGTGTGGGCGGCATGATCCCCTACATGCTTGATCCCAGCTATACCACTGGCTTGACCTGCCTGGGCTCCGTGTCTGCACTCTCTGCCGTCATGGTAAGGGATTCACACAGGCTTCCAAAATTATATTTATTTATTTTTTTTGGCCAGGTTATCTTTTATTAATTTCTTGAGTCTTGCTGGGTGGTTCAGATTTTTTTTTTGTTTTTTTTTTGGTCGGGTTATTTTTCTGTTTTGTGTTTTTTTTTTTTTTTTTTTTTTTTTTTTTTTTTTTTTTATTTAATTAAATTTTAAATTTTTTGTAAATTACTTGGTAGCTGATGGCTCACATAATATTTTAATTTAAATAAAATGTTCATTTGAAATTAGCGTTGTTTGAGATATTGGCTAAAATGTTTAATTTCCAAACTAAATTGTTTTTATAATCAATAATAGTAATAATAACAGTTTTTAAGTATGTATGGCTTAAAGTGCTTTTTTTTAACTTTTCTGTGAAATTAGGCAAATAAATTATAATGGGGAAGAAAACATGCTTTAGAATTTTTCCAGTCTATTGTATGTATATGTGTATATATGCGTGTAAATATACAGTTTAGCCATTAAAATCTGCACAATTTAAAACGTTTTGCACAGTATTTTAATTCATTAAACTAATTTTTTCACATTTTGTTGTGTTTATTATTTGTTTTATTTGTTGGTTGAGCGGCTTGAGCCTTTGTCTAAAGACAATTTTCTACCCCATTGGGGATAGACAAAGCTTTTTGAATTTAGAATATTTGAATTTGAAACACCAGAAAATGTGCACTGTCCATTGACAAGACTAGATTTGGAAGTGATGCTTGGAGGAATTCTGTAAATCAGCATGTTAAAATGTCCAAATATGACATGCTCCATCAGTCAATATATTGGCCTACCGCTATCTTAAGTAGAGACAGTTGTTTATAAAATTGCACATTTGGTTAGTATTCCATTTGGTTTTGGTATGAGGATGTAAAGATTAAGATTTTGACTGAGGTCAGAGATTGATAAGATTGTGTGCAGCTACAAGCACATACAACTTCTGTTCAGTGTTTCAGAACGCCGTGACATAGGTAAACCCTGCAGTTCATGAAACCTAAATCCCTTTGCTTTTAGTTTTATTTATTTATTTGATATAATCCATAAGAGCACACCACCATATGTTGACAGATAGAAGTAAACCACAATCATGAAATTTCGAGGGAACGCTCCCGGAGTCTTGGTAAACATTAGCGTCATGGAGCTTTCGTCATTTGTCAATAATCAGGAAGCTGACATTTTTATACAGCTCCTTTTACCTCCATAAAGATAAACAATCACCTGCAGTATGGTGTCTGGCTCTTTTTACACCGATTATTCTTCATATTCTCAGTTTTTTTTGTGTGGTAGGTGGCTTTGTTTAGGCCATTTCCCTGAGGAAGGAACATTGTTTAATAATACAGGGATGATATCATGGACGAGTGAAACGAATACTGTGTTTTGACAAACACCTCATGCCTTAATTGAAGCCCATTGCAACCAGATCTGTGTGAAATATGTTGCTCTGGCTTGCTCTATATCGCATTTCCTATTTGCATCATCATCACCCAGTGTGTAAATGAACCGACTCATTTTATAAAAACAAACCTTGTGTACAATGGTAATACCTCAGGCTTGTGATTTTTCTTTTGGTGGACTCTCTTTTTGTTTAAATGATGGAATCGCATTACTGTTGTGCTTTGCTCACTTGTCATCACCGTAACCTTTGATCTCAACCCTTTTTCTCTCTCTGACCCTCTTTCTAACCCTGCTTTTCGTTGTCTTTGTAGGGCTTGACCCTGACAGCCGCCATCGGAGGGGCTGACATGCCCGTGGTGATCACTGTGCTAAACAGCTATTCCGGCTGGGCCCTGTGCGCTGAAGGCTTCCTGCTCAATAACAACTTGTTGACCATTGTGGGTGCTCTCATTGGCTCTTCTGGAGCCATCCTCTCCTACATCATGTGTGTGGTAAGTTCACAGTCTCAAAGTTCACTCCATGATTTTGTTCCCACCTCTTTTAATAATAACATATTCTGAATGGTGGTCTAAACATTGTGGTTGTTATTAGTCTTAAAAATTGACAGTGGCAATGTTTCCTCCAGCCCACAAGTTCTAAAAATTATTTCAAATATTATGTATTTTTTTTTATGGATCTTTACATATGCATTAATATGCATTACATTTAAATATATATTATTTGACATTTATTTAAAGTTTATATAAATGTGCTATAACAGTTTTTGAAACTGCTTTTATTTGATCAACAATATATCAAAAACATTAATACTGTGAATTAATAGTACAATTTTAAAATAACTTTGAAAATACAGCCATCACAGGAATAAATTAAAATTGCAGTGGTCATTACTCCAGTCTTCACTTGATCCTTTAGAAATAATTCTAATATGCTGATTTGGTGCTCACGAAACAATTCTTATTATTATCAATGTTGAAAACAGTTGGCTGCTTAATATTTTGTGGAAACCCAGATACTTTTTTTTCAGGATTATTTGAATGGAAAGTAAAAAAAAAAGTGCACTACTGTATAATATATAACTAAATATTGTCATTATTTTTAGGTCAGATTAGAAACCAGATGTTCTCAAAGTAGAAAACCCGATGACAACATGCACTTCAGATTTATGCAAAATAACACTGCCTTATTGAAATGTTATTTACTAGATTTTCAGTTGTTTCTAATAGTAATGTTATGGTATGCATTTCAGTTATGGCTTTAAAATGAGCAAATACTTAGTTCTGATCAGTGGATCAATTCGTCTCACAGACCGTTATCAAAACTGTAAAAGGTCATGTTAAATCATTTGTGCATAACCTAATTAATATTAGATTACAGAACACATGTGTGCGAGTCTAAAAAAATCTTGATCTCAAAGACTGGATGTTCCTGTTATAATGACTCCCATGGCTTGCACCCCAGTGGGACTTGGGAATTCAACACCACGGTTTAGTTTTATAAAGTTGGACAAATGGTACTATTTTACATGTACCTGCTTTTATCCTTCCTTCACATGCAAATTCCACTTGAGTCACTTTGGCTATCTGGCATGCTGCTTAATATCCTGTTAATAATGGCTAAATGTCATATGGACACACATTTTCGTGTAACAATCTTGTTTTATTCCGCTGAGAGGCAGTCTTCATATTCCGCATTCCTGATTTCCAATCTCTGGGTGTTTTTTCTTCCTTAGGCCATGAACCGCTCACTGGCAAATGTCATTCTGGGTGGCTACGGCACGTCATCCACCGGCAGGGGCAAGCCCATGGAGATCACAGGTACCCACACTGAGGTCAACGTGGATCAGTCAGTGGAGATGATCAAGGAGGCTCAGAATATCATCATCGTTCCAGGTAATGGAGGCCCTTTGTAGCCGTGCACATCTGAAACTCCTAAATCTGGAGCATACCGTCAGCGACTTCAAACAATCCTTTATGTTATGTCTGTTAAAGCAACCTTGCTTCACCCACATTACATCACTGGTAATTTTCTGACCCCTCCTGTGCGGGACAAACCCCCCAGAGTGCACCCTGAGGCCTGCTGGGGCTTGTTCTGAGGTGGTCTTGAATTCTCTCTCATTTTTTTGAAGCCCTAGACACATTCGTGTGCACTTTTTATCTGTCTGTTTGGGCTCGACTCCTCTTCGGGGTGTTTTTTATTTATGGGATGGCGTGTTTGGCCTCCCGTGGCATTGTTCGTGTGAGGTGAGCTGTGGAGGGTGGTGTTAGTTTTATCTCTTCTGGCAGGGTCGCGCCATGTTTCTTTTGCCCAGATACTGCTGACTGATTGAGCAGGATGTCAGAAGAACTTTAACTGTGTTTACCTTCAATACAAGTTAAGTTGGCAAATAATTTATTTGGAGTTGAATGTTTTTCTGTGGCTGTTCCTTTAAACCATCTTTGCATTGGTCTCCGTAATGGCCTCCAGCAATGGCAGCAACTCTCATGCTGCTTTGTTCTCCACAACACAGTGTTTTATAGTTGCATTTTATGGTCCGACAGCAGGTCGAGAAGATCAAGACCTTGGAGGCGACAGGACAGTGGAAAAGATGAGCGATTAGATGTGGGAATATGAACAGAAAGAAAAAGAGAAACGATAATAAACAGCGCAGTCCAGAGTAAACAAGACTGTAGGGCCAAGCACAACAGAGACGGCCCCTTTTATTTAAAACAAATGGCCGTCCAACAGGCTCTGAGGCATTCAGAATTTTCCCTCTTGACCATTGCCTGTTTAGCCACTGCCAAGATGAGAGAGCCCTTTGTTCACTGACAACACAGGCCTGACCATCGTGAGCACCAGTCTGGTAATCAAGATTGTAGCTTCAAATCCTTTTTCCCCATCACTGTAGTCTCCCAAATCACTGTAGGGCCCAACAAAAGAGTTTTTTTTTTTTGTGGTGTTTCTATACTGTATATTCTTTCATTTTTGAAAGTTTTCTTTTCCCTTTTTTTTTTTAGTTATTAGTTTTTTTGTGTGTGTTTTTGTTTTGTTATTAATTTTCCATTTGGGCCATTTCAGATTTGTAATAAATGTTGATTTCTTAAAGGGAGTAAGAAAAATAAATTAATAATTTATTATTATTATTATTTATCTATCTAGCCAGCTAGATAATGTTAACTTGATGTTAACTGCAGAATTCGCAACAATTAAACATGAACAACACGAAAGATTTGCAACACGAAAGTTGCCTAATGTTTAGGTATGGTAGCTACGCTCTCGCGCTGGGCCTGGACGATCGGTCCATGCTTTTTGTTGAGCCCTGCACTGCTAAGTAACACATAATTGAACCCACTTAAATTTTCACCTCTCGTTTGCTGCTAAATCCGTCCATCAACCTCCATTGCGTTGTCTGTCCTTTTTAGTATCTTTTGAATGGGGTTCCCTTGAGTCTGTTCAGTCTTTGCACTGAGTAAGCAATGGCCTTGTTTCCATTTCCGCATTTTTGTATAATTTAAGTAGTCATAGTTAGTTTAGTTGATTGACAGCTGTGAAAACATTTAAGACTTTTCTGTTTAAGCTTGGAGTTTGCCAACCATGGCTGTTTTCCTAAGCAGAAATTAGCTTAAAGAAGCCTTAGAGCTGAAAGAAATCATTAGGAGCGAGGAGGGTTAGCCGGCACGCACCGTGACATGCTTGTTTAAGTAGCATTTGAAGGCGGTTATGACAGGCCTATCAGAAGGTGTCAGCAGTAACTGAGGCTTTAAACTGACTGACGTGAGAATTTTTTATTCGTTTATCCTTACTGTACGTGCTAAATTGGTTATTGGTGACATATCGATAAGTAAATCTGTCTTTTCTGCTCTTTCTGATCCCAGTTCAGCTAATTCTGCGCTGCTTTCAAACTACACCAAGGGTATAAAAATAAATACTTCTGTGAAATATTATTACAAATTCGAACACCGACTTTAGATTAAAGATGTATTTCAACATGAAGCCATTTTCTCCTCCTCTTTTTTTTTTTTTTTTTTTTTTTTTTTTTTTTGGGGGGGGGGGGGGGACTCCACATGTGGGACAAAATGTCTATGATTGTTTCACTCCTTGTTTAGATTATAACAGTTAAAATATAAAATGAAGAGTTCAGATGCAAAAGCCTCTAAATGCCGTCTGAAACGCATCTCAGTGGCGGATGCAGGGCACCCCTTATTAGTAAACAGTGTCATATGAATTATTGAACTGGATGACACTTGGAATCTCCCCTTTCTTTTCCTAAATCCTCACTCTTGCTTTATTTTCTCTCATTTGCTTAACTCCTCTAATTATATTATATAACTATTTATCTGTCAAAATTGTAATGGATTTTACCCATCCAAATAATAATTATAGTTATAACAATTGGTGGTATTTTTTTTTAATTCAGCCTTTGATGTTGACTGTAACGCAAGTACAGGATTTCAATACACTGCTGAACAGACTCATGTTTATTAAAATTCAAGCCAAAATGTCAAACATTTTCCCTTGTAGTTTAGTCTGTGTAAGTTTTAGTCTCTCTGAGGGGGGTCTGAGTCTTGTCAGTACTGCTGGGTGAGTGTTTGAACTCATTAGTTGCAGGTCAGTCTGGTGATCCTCTGAATGGCAGCCTTCTCTCTCCGCTTCTCTCTGCATGTCGGACTCCTCCATTTCAAAGAGTGCTTTTGAATATCGTCATTCAGATGCTCTATTGTCTGGGGCTTTTGTTGCCTCTCCAGTGTACATGTAATGCCCTGTGATCTGAGAGCGCAGTGTACCCCAGGCCTCCAGTGCTGTGAAAGAGCTGGTGATGAGCAGAGCGACAGGTGCAGGCTATGCAATACTTTCCACCGTCCCGGCGACGCCTCTCAGGTTGCAGGGCGTGTGCCTGACCCTAGAGATGCTTCAACAACCATGCGCTTTCAGTATTTGTCATACTGATGAGAAGAACATGTAACATGTTTGTTTTATGCTGATTGTTTTTTAAATATTACATGTTTCGCTCCCCATCTTTTCCTGTTCTCTCTTCTCTCTATTAAAGCAGCAAAAAGGCTAAACAAGAGACATTGGCAGTCCTTTGTAAAACGGCGTCTGATTTAAATGTGCTCTTCACAAGGCTACGGCTGATCACTGTGGCTCCACTGTGGTCAGCAGATCCTTATACTTGTGAATGTTTTCTGAGAATTTGCCTGATTCTACCCTTTTAGTTCTTTAATGCCATCTGTGGCTGTTTTTAATTATAATTAAATGAATTGTATACAAAAATATAATTTTCTGAGCCCCTTTCTTTAGTTAATGTACTTGACTGATTGAATGCTCTGATAATGAAATCTGTGTGGTGGTTTTAAATTATATGTATATGTTAATTATTATAAAAAGATGTTTCCAAGCCTTCTCTTGAGGTTTTATTTTATTTTAAATGTAATTAATATACTTGATAAATTGAATGCTATTTATTTCATTTATTTTATTTTTTATTATTGGCTTTTTTTAAAACTGATTAACTGGCTCTGACGGTTGATTCGTTTATTACAGTTACTGTTCCTGTCCTGTGCAAAGCTGTTTGGATAAAGTTCCTACTATTTCTTTTAGAAATAAAACTTATTAGTATTGGTTACTTTTTGGTAGTATGAGTATTGCAGTTCCTGTGCCTTTTGAATCTGAAAACAGTGTAAACCTCAACTAAAAATGTAACACAAAATTACATTGGTTAAAAAAGGAAGGCATATCACTTCCTGTGTCTCTCCTCAGCCTGTTGGCTGTGATCTTCTGTTTTTACAGTGAAGTCGTAAAGCAGCCCACGTGCCCTGGGGATCCACTCGTCTTCCTCAAGCCATTTCCCCTGAGCTCATGCACTTTACTACCTCTGGCATTAAAAATATACCTTCTGCTTATTTCCTTCTCTTTTAACCTCTTACAAACACCCTAACCTCTACCCCAAAGCACATCTACTTAACCATGTTCAAAGACTCCTGTTCGTACTGTATGGAGAGTCATCCTGCACAACCGTAAAGTGCTTTATTTGGATGCCATATGTGTATCAGGCGATCTAAGAGGTCACTGATCTGTATTGTCTGCGTGTGTTCAGGTTTGGAATCCACCCTGTGGCTGGTCGTATGCCAGGCCAACTGAACGTTCTGCTGGCTGAAGCTGGTGTGCCTTATGATGTTGTGCTGGAGATGGATGAGATCAATCATGACTTCCCTGGTATGATATCCTTTTTTTGGTGTTTTTTGGTGTCATTTGTGGGATATCAAATCCATAATTGTGCTTTCCATTATTGTTTTTCAGAAACTGACCTGGTCTTGGTAATTGGAGCTAATGACACAGTCAACTCAGCGGCCCAGGAGGACCCCAACTCCATCATTGCTGGCATGCCTGTTTTGGAGGTCTGGAAGTCCAAGCAGGTGAGCATCTTATTAGTTGTTAATGCCTTGCAACTTTTAAATATGAATTATAGTCTTACAAAAATAACTTTTTTTGTAGCTGATTTCACACGATATACACAACTGTTCAAAAGTTTGGGGTTTAAAGAAATAGATTCAGCAAGGGCACATTCAGTTGTTCAAAGAAATGTATAATTTGACAAAATATTTCTATTTCCAGTAGTCTTAATTGTTGTTCTTTTGAACTGTCTATTCATCAAAAAATTGTGGGGAAAAATGTATACCAGTTTCCACAAAAAATATTGCGTTCAATTTAATTAATAATTAGAAATGTTTCTTGGGCACCAAATCAACATATTAAAATAATTTCCAAAGGATCATGTGACACTGAAGACTGGAATAATGGCTACTGAAAATTCGTCTTGGCCATCACAACAATACATTTTAAAATATATCAAAATAGAACACAGTTACTTGAAATTGGTAATAAGCTTTCACAATATTACTGTTTTTACTGTATTTTGAATCAAATAAATGCAGCCTTTGTGAGCATAAGAGACTACTTTCTAAAATATAAAAAATCTTACAGACCTCAAATATTTGATTGGTACTGTACATGATATACTTCATACTCCATATGTATCAGGCTTTACATTTATGGCCTAGCTGGAATAAAAGCCAAGATGGCAAGAACTGGCCTCATGCATTGTAATATAGACCATCCCTCATTCTCCCACCCAGAGCGATATGAAAATCTCCATCCCATCCCTACAGCTGGTTCCCACTGTAACCACGCTTCGGTCCAGGTGTATCTCCAGAAAGATTCCAGCTCACGCTGCTTTCATTAGCACTGACTCGCTCGTTCTGGAATGATGACATTTCAGAGCATCCGACCGATACTTTCCCTAAAATGTGGGGCTGGTGTGCCTCACCACATGACAAGCCCACTGCGGCCAGACCTTCTCTTGGGAAATCACTCAGAGTACTGGGGCTTGACATTTGCGAATGTGCAAACACGTTGACCTTCTCCCAAGAGTAATTGCGTGTAGCTTGTTAACATGTTCCATAATTCCATACGGAATTATGCAACCACTAGAGCTTTGAACCAAAGCCTGCCTTATTTGTAGCAACTTGGAAGTGTAGCCAAGTCACAACAAGGGAACTCGACCAACTTCGAACGTAGTGACGCTCTTGATGACATGATAGTGCGGCAGAATCTGAAGTTTCCCTGTCGATTGTCTCCTTTGGTTTCGTTATCCTCAATCTCATGCAACATCCATCCTACTGATTGCTCCCAGCCATGTTAAAGACCTTCATGTGTAACCTCATTCCCAAATGAAACCAGCTGCCCTATGAATAATTTAACAAAAGGATGTTGTCCTGTCCAGGGGGAGGCTGAGCCTGGGTAAAGTGGTCACGTGACTCTTTGAGAAGAGGGGTTGGGTGTGTCTGAACTCCATCCTGATGCCACCTGGCTGGCATTAAACATCTGCAGGGCTTTTGAGGGACAGATGATGATATTAAAAGGATCCGCCTGCGATTTTGAAGTCTCAAGTTGAGGGTCATTTCGTTCCAAATATCTTTCAGTGTATTGAATAACACTAAAGCTAGACCAGCGGCAAGGGCTCTCCTCTCTGGTTTTGCTTATTCAATTACCAAGTGTTCCTCCTTCCCAAACAGATGCTCTCAATCAAAGCGCTGCTCTCAACGATTTTCCCAGAAACTGCTCTGCCTAAAAACTGGTGTTCAAGACACTAATGACTCTTAATTTTGTAAATGGCAGATACTTAAATAGCCATTACATGTTGGAAGCATGGGCTGTTTTTGCACCCTCGTGTACAAATCCTAAAACTGTTCTCCACCACTTCACATGCAGGTGCATGCAGTGTCTTTACAGGAATAATGTTGAAGATTTTGTGTAAGCTGGCTCAACTAAATGGAAAAATCCGTTGATAATCTAAGGGCAACATACAGGATTTTATTTAGTGTGAATTTTCTAACTTATTCCATGAAGTACCTTTGTTCCTGGATAAGACAAAATGCATCAACCTCTGCTTTCATCCCTTCAGGTCATTGTGATGAAAAGATCTCTTGGAGTTGGCTACGCTGCCGTGGACAACCCTATCTTCTACAAACCAAACACATCCATGCTTTTGGGAGATGCCAAGAAGACTTGTGATGCTCTGTCTGCCAAGGTCCGTGAGGGCTAGAGAGGAAAGAGAAGATCTGACACTGAGTCACGGAGATGAGGAGATCGAACAAACCCAATAAACCCTTAGATATAAATTAGCACTAATAGGAACAAGCTCTTAATGACACTCTATGCCCATTTCGATTTTGCTGTAGATATAGGTAGTTTATTTAGTATTTCCAGAACTTTTTAGTTTTTCTTTTCATGAAATGTTCTTCTTTTGGTCCCCCATTTAAATCAAGTTAAAAGGAAAAAAAGCATTACAGCATCACATTAATTAGCATTAATAAAGCAAGTTAACCAGTTATCATCTGGTTTTGTATGTATTATAGATCTGGTTTTATATAGCACAGCAATCTGTAAAAAAAAAATATATATATATATTTTTTTTTTCTGGTAACGTTAGCATACATATGACTAATTTGTTTGAAAGCCATAAACCACTCTAAACTGTATGCTTTTTTTCTCCTTTTTCTTGCTTCATTGTTTATTTGCCATGTGCATTGTGACCAGCTGGTGGTGTAAGGTGTTCAACTTTTCCAGATGCAGCTTCAGAGGACCATATCCAAACAATGCACATTTTCTGTTAATAGCATGAAGCTTTGAAGGATTGCTGCTGAGATGAAGTCCTAGCCAATATCACTGAAGATTTACACACAGAATCCCAAACACCTGTGGCTCCACCATAAAATGATTTGTATTCCCCAACCACTCTTAATTCAAGTGAATGTCACTGGAGCGGTGAGGTTAGTATATGAGTAGTTACTGTATATCTGCCCTGTTGTCCTCCCAAATTTGTTCCCAGCAGTAATCCTCCACAGTATTTGACAGGGATTTGAACATATGTATTATACTTTACCCACCGGGACCTAATGGAGTAGATCCTACGAGATACAGGAACCAAGACAGACCATTACAACAACCCTACCTCTCCATAGTTTCAACTCGACCAAAACAATCCCTCACCTCCCCAATCACACACTCCTCTGCTAATGTTTGCCTCGAGCTGGGCTGCAAGGGGCGCGTGTAGTTTGGTCCTCAATGTAGATTTTGTGGATGCAGGAAGGTGGTACACCATTCTTTGCAATTTAGATGCTGAATTTCATCTGTTTTTCATCTGTTAAAACAGGAATGTTTTAATATGTGAAAAAATAAGTAAATTGTAAGGGAATCAGTTGCTGCAAGGGAAAGTATTTATCGAACACCATTCGGGTTAATACAGAGTTTTGCATTCCCTCCCCCTCCTTCGGGATGTTTTTGTAAAGACAGGTTCTTGCATAGAAACGATGCTTTGAAAATTCTGCTTTGCTGCAATACATGGGAGGGAAGAGGGTGAGTCTTCAAATGTTTCATTGTGCCATGGTGAGGAAATAATGTCATACTGTGAAATGTTTTTTCTCTCTCCACTGTATCACAGAGCATCCCTCTTAATAAACATCCTGATAAGAGAACCGATGGCACGAACGGTCATTCATTTCTCAATATCGCATGCCTTCAGTGTTGCGGGCACCACAATGCCTAGATTGGGCTGTTGAAGAAACCACTTGCATCTTCTGATTTCCTCAATGTAGATTTTGTGGATGCAGGAAGGTGGTACACCATTCTTTGCAATTTAGATGCTGAATTTCATCTGTTTCAGGAATGTTTTAATATGTGAAAAAATAAGTAAATTGTAAGGGAATCAGTTGCTGCAAGGGAAAGTATTTATCGAACACCATTCGGGTTAATACAGAGTTTTGCATTCCCTCCCCCTCCTTCGGGATGTTTTTGTAAAGACAGGTTCTTGCATAGAAACGATGCTTTGAAAATTCTGCTTTGCTGCAATACATGGGAGGGAAGAGGGTGAGTCTTCAAATGTTTCATTGTGCCATGGTGAGGAAATAATGTCATACTGTGAAATGTTTTTTCTCTCTCCACTGTATCACAGAGCATCCCTCTTAATAAACATCCTGATAAGAGAACCGATGGCACGAACGGTCATTCATTTCTCAATATCGCATGCCTTCAGTGTTGCGGGCACCACAATGCCTAGATTGGGCTGTTGAAGAAACCACTTGCATCTTCTGATGATGGAATATCTGCGCACAAGTGACAATGATTACCCATTGTCAGTTTTTTCCTCATTTATGTCTGAAGTTAAGGGTGGAGATGTTTGCTCTGATCTCAAGTCCATGTGGGTTCTTTCACCTTTGCAACAAGTAGCACTCAGACATGATGGTATCTTCACGCACCTTCTCCCAGTCTCTCTTAAAGGGATAGTTCACCCAAAAATGAAAATTCTGTCATTAATTATTCACCCTCATGTCGTTACAAACCATTTATTTTGGTTCTCCATGTCTGGTCCGTCTGTTAGTTCTCTTAATTTCAGTCCTTTCAGTGTCCTGGAGGGTCTTGTAGATGTTTGTGGTCATGCTAATGAATGTGCCTGATGTTTCTGCTCGCTCGTTCTCTGTAACCATGCTGAAAGCAGATAAAATGGGCCTTTGTGACTGTTTCATTACCCTACGAGTTATCTCCAGTGCTAAAAAACACCAGATGAAATATGATTGGAACTAGCTTGGCGCACTGTGTTCCTTCACCACAAATGTGACAATTACTGTGTGGTTTGTCTCTGTGATGTCAAAGGATGTGGCTTTTTTTTACCCCCGGTGGACTGTTACTAAATCTACATTCTTGGAGTTCATCACTGATGCTCATTTCCATTGATAACCTACATCTCTATTGCAGATAGAGCCTGATCCAATTCCATCAGCTTAAAAGTGCGTTCACACTTTGTGCTCTATGCACTCACATTTGCATTCACATGCACTTGCAGATTGCTTACCTGCATGTTTGTAGAGCCAAAAGACATTTGACAGAAAACAGCTGAATTCAAAGAACACCAAAGCTTTGCAGTTTGCAGTGTTTGAGTAATTTTGATTACTCTACAAATATGTGGTGCATTGACTATTTGAACGGGATCAATGGGTTCTGGAACTGTTTATACAAAGTGTGAACATTTGCATGCCAAAATCTAAACTGGCTTTCATTCATATGCATGCAGATGTGGGAGAGCGGAAACGCAAGCTCATGTGAAGACGTTTTGCATTTCGCTGTTACAAATTCACAAGTTCACCAGACTTGATTGTGAAGCTGTGTGACCATTAGAAATTTGATACGTCACGCCTTGACCTTGTAGCTGTATTAAAAAATACATACATTTAAAACTGCACCATTAGTGGAGTAGATTGTATGTTTTAACATTTTGGATTTATTATTTATGTGTTGAATTTACGCTGCAGAGCGTGACATGACCATTGCAGTGTCCGAACAAATTTTGCTTGCTCCGTCTAGTGTGATCACGGCTTTATGGTCACAGTTTGCAGCACACTAGTGGTTCTAAAGCTAGATTGCAATGCAAATCTACAATAAATAAATTTTGTAATTCAAATCTACAGTACAGTATTAAATAATAATTGCTGGACCATTTTATGGACCTTAATTTCCAAAGCTGTAGTTGAATTTCATTTTCTGTTGGTATGTGGAAAATCTAGGAGTCTAAATGTAATTTAAACCTGAAAATGAACTGAATGTTGTAGGATTTTAGACCTTTTCAAACAAAAATGTTATGATGTAAAATTAAAATGAAATTTTAGATTCTACACTATTTCTAGGTGACTAATCAAGCAAGTAAATGTGACACTTGATCATGTGAATTTCTTTGAACAAAATTCAATGTTCTTCTATTGAAGCTCAAGATGCTCTTTGGATCATTCTGAAATTATACTAGATAAATATACTTTATTACCTATTCTGCTTTTCCATACAAATTGCTGTGCAGTTGCTGAAGTGATCTGCATGGTTTTTAGTGGATTTTAGTGATAACTAGGATATTCCATGTGGTTGCTGGATTATTTACTGATCAATAAGGTAAGTCTAAGGTATTCATTTGCAGTCTAAACCATTTATTTGGGGTATCATTCAAGTTCGTAGCAACCTGTGCAATACTTGTTCCAAACATTAACCTAAAATATGAGCAGTAGAAAATAGTAACACTTGGCTTGACAAACACAGCTAAAAAGATTCATGCCTGCACATAATCTCTTTGTTTGTATGGTGGCATCTTATCGTAATCCCCAAAGGTAACTGTAACTGCAGATAAAAGTGATGTCTACCTGTTGATCATCTCTCTATATGTCTTGAATCATACCCACCTCTTCCACCTGTTTGGCTCTTTTAACAGTTTAAGTACATGGAGCACCAGATGCAGCGCATGCAAGTCCCTTTCATCATCCGGCCAGCTGAACATTACTCTGATTTAAAACCCAGTGGACGGCTGTGCACAAACAGTATCTCCAAACGTCCTCTTCTAAGCTGCAGCATAGATGCTCTTAAAAGCAAATCCAACCCATTTCACTCTTAAAATAAAGATAAATGTTGACAAAGTACAACCCTCGTCATACCATATCCTCGCTATTAGGCCTGACATTTAAGAAACACAAACAGTTCAAGTGTCCTTTTAAGATACTTTTATTGTCTAAATTCTATGAATGTGAAGCTTTGGTCAAAATGGAGCGGTTAATGTCAAAGATGTAGAGTTTTATTTTTATTTTTTTTATGCTTTTGAGGTTTTGCAGAGGAGTTCTGGCCTGCTGTACAGAGGGAGCTTTTAGTAAACAGCACAGGATTTTTGGCAGTGCTGTTATCAGCAATAGGGTGTATGTGAGATTGTATACTAGAAGTGGAGAGGATATTGCATGTTACTAAGTGTGTTCTTCATTGTGTTGTCTGATAGCAAGTCGTCGCTTAATAGCAGACTGTTTTATTAATATAAAACGTTTTGTAGTACACATACTGTACATATATAACATGCAAAGGTGCCATGAGGACAGTCTCTCTGAGTCAACCCACTTCAGTGGTACTGTTGAATTTCATGCTTGAGGCTATGTTGAAAATCTAGAAGTCTAAATGTAATTTAGAATTTTTATGTTTTAGAATTTTTGGACATTTAAAGAAATGTATGTTCTTCCATTGAAGCTCAAGATGCTCTTTGGTTCATTCTCAAATTATGCTAGGTCACATGATCATTAGCTTTTACACAAACTTGTGGAGTTCATGCAGTCATTAAAGCAAAAGAGTGACAAATCAAATATTTTCAGAGAATACTTTCTGAGATTCATGTTGATTTTACACCCAATTTGTTACGCTGATAATATTTGTAATTGTGAATTAAGAAAAATGCAAAATAGTAACATTTTCAGTAGTAGCTTCTTGTGCTTTCCACTGGTCTCTTAGGTTTACCATAGCAGCATTTATTTGGTCACAAATGCACAAATAATGAAATATTACAATTGATAATAAATGTTATCAATTTTAATATATTTTAAAAAAGTAATTTATTCTTGTGATGTCAAAGGTGAATTTTCAGTAGTCATTACTCCAGTCTTCAGTGTCACATGATCCTTCAGAAATCATTCTAATATACAGAAATGATTCTAATATGCTAATACGCTGAAAACAGTTGTGCTGTTGAATCCCTGATACATTTTTGTCATGATTCATTGAGGAATGGAAAGGTCTAAAGAACAGAATGTATTTATTGTGTACTGTAATTAATTGAATGCATCCTTAAATACATAAAAGTGCATAAAACTAAATAAACATGCATTTCTTTAAAAAAAAAATTGTATTGACACCCAACCTTTGAACGCTAGTGTGTATACACAGAATATATATATATATGCACAGAATATATATAGCTGTGTTTATGTAGATAGCTATGTATAGTCGGTCATGGAGATGTTCACAGCTGCAGTGTTTTGTCATTTGTAAAGTTTGGATCAGGACTATAATGTCAAGGCTGCAAATCTCCTGGTCTTTAAAGTGTGTTTGTGCAGCAGTAGCCAGGGACAAAATATTTACACCAGTAGGGTTAGGGTTGTTTTAAACTTGGAGCCGAATTGTGATGTTAGTGCAGAGAGCATCCCTGACTGACCTTCACACAAACCTCAGACATGTCTATGCCATGTTACCATAAATTATTTTAACATGAAGAATAGCATGATGTCACTGAATTTATTATCTCATATTTGTGAAAACAGACAAGTGGTTAATTTGAGTCTTCACCTGCAGGCAGTGCTGTTTCTGAGCTGTATTTGTTGAATCACTCCTCAGATGACTTTGTTATATTGATAGTGTCTTTTAACTCTATACACACTTTTGCTCTATTAACAATAATATCAGATCTGTTTTTTCCCCCAGCAGGTATACCATACAAAATTACGCATTTATTGCAAATGACATCTTTAAGGATAGCGGAAATATAACACTGTAAATCAAGGTCTTGCAGATTTGATAGTCATTGTAGATCATAAAGACTGGTCCTTCTTTAGCACCTCCTAAAATAAGTCACATTTCTGGAGAAATAATAGGCTTCCTACACTGTCTAGAATCAAAGATGAGTCCATGTCAC